AATCATTCCCACTTTATGAATTTGAAGAAGAGGAAGTTTTCTTTCAACATAACAATCTACATCCAGAAAATATTCTTGTCGACCCTGTGAACCATAAGATTGTTGCTGTTCTGGACTGGGCAATATCAGGATTTTATCCAGCTCATTTCGAAGTATCAAAGATGAATTTTCGAAAAATTAATCATAATTTAGAACAAGTAGAAAATATTTATCAGACAGTTGAATCTAGACTTCTAACTGCTAATGTTCTCAAGTACAATTTTTCTCAAAACGATATATTAAACTCTCTCCATAAAGACTTTTTCTCGGAACTATAAAGGTGAACTATGATTGTGAGGAGTATCTTTTGTAATAAAAGATCAACTATCCAATTACCACAACAGGGATATTAGAATTTTCTTATTCAGCTTAGTGTATACGTGATTATAGTTCTCACAAAATATATCATTAGATTGTCTATGATAAATAATAAGCGAGTCATATTTACATATATTGTTATAATTTATTGATTATTAACTATATAGTTATGATTTCAATATTTTTAAACAAGTATGTTTCTCGATTAACATCTCTACTGTATTTTATAATGAATACGAAAACTTTTATTCTTCGGATAGGTATAACTTGTTACTAGTGTTTATCATGTTATTAATATATAGTTTTCTATTTTATGAGTCAAACTCAATTTATATCTAAAATGTATTCTGTATCATCAATAGGTAGAGAGGCATAATAATAGGTATCGATTTCATTCCTTATGGCATTAACTATAAGTTACTTATCATCAAAAAAGACTATTGACATATTTTAAAACATAATGACGAAAAATATTAGAAAACGCACACAGTTGATGATTAAGGCATTATCTCATAAAAGTATCTTGCTGTCTTTGCTACAGATAATAGTCAACGTGAAAATTCTTCGTATAAATTCTATGACAGGTCTTAAATAGAAACGTGAATTCATCCAATATAAAACAAGCTAACAGAGTCGATAGACGCATTATTTATAAATTATAACCATATCAATAGAATTTGTAAGTATAAATAAGAAATATTTAAATATAAATCTATATATCGACACAGTTACTCGGAATAAATTAAGTTTTAAAATTATGATAATATATTAAATGTCAACTCGAATTGGTTCACTTAGATAATACATATTTTATTAGTTAAAGAATAAACGTCTTATTCAGTATATAATCCAATTTAACAAATAGAGGACTATAAAGAAATAAGAATCTCATTGATGAATAAAATCCATAAACATCTTCCTGAAATTCGAAAGAATATTTATATGCAATATATTTACTATACAATGAAGACGAAGCTTTACTTAAGGTGATTCCTGAGTATAATGTTAGTAACAGAGAAACTACAACTCTTCGTATAACATAAAATTTTTCATTTACCCGAGACTTATAAGAAATAGATGTAATAATGAAAAGATTATCTAGACAAAGAGTAGACCTCATATGGAAAGAACTCTATCAGGAAGATAAAACGTTATTAAAACAAGTAAAACCATTAATGAAAACAGAATAATACTTCATGAAGATATTTTTGATGAAAAGATAGTTGATAGTGATTTTAAACATTAGAAGTTACTCTGATGGAAATAAATTACTAGAGGAGAGTTTTGTTATAATGATGTTTCATGTTCTATTTGATAATACTCAGAAAATAAATATAATAGACTGTGAATATTTCTCGTACAAATACGTAATTAATGGAATTGAATATTTTTATCTAAAACACCTATTCATTACTTCAGTATCATAAAATATACAGAGTGATTACTGTGAAGTATGCATTTGTCAAATAGTAAGTAATACTTAAGATAAATCACATCGGAAGTAAACAATGTATTAACTGTCTACTATGAAATGTGTATGCAATTATGTTTAAAAATATGTTTGTAAATAATAAGTATATAGAATAGTCAGTATAAATAATATAGTTATGTATGATTAGAATATAATGACAGCTATATTAAGTAATCGATGTTTTAACAATATAAGTAAGCGCTCATTTATGTTCTTGTTGGATAATTAGGAAGATATCATCTAAAGTATGTTTTTGGTTAAGTACATCGCCGTAACCAAGATATACAATAACACATATTATAATAATAATCTCTTTAACAAATCCGTCAACTTTATGGTATTTGTGATTACGTTGTTGAAAATAAATTAATCTATGTTTAAACATTTAGTGCTTTTTGATTTATTATATATGATTGTATTTCCACATGGGTCTAAGAGAAATAATGTAACTGTAGCTAAACTATATGATAAGAATTATGAATATTCAATATTTTTGAAAAGTATGAATATTTTATCAGGAAATAGATTTAATCACAATAAACAATCTAATTTAAATAAGTATTTATATGATTTTAATGACTAATAAAACAAACAAATTTAGAAGGGATGAGTATAAGATAAACATTGATTAATAATATTGAAACTATCTTAAAAATGACACTGTTATTATTTTTATTTTTAACTTTTAACTTTTAATTTCGTTTGATATTGTGTATATCAGATGTCCGCCATTACTATTAATTAGGTATTTTAGGAATGGATATTAATGAATATTTTACGCATACCAATATATGTTGTCAAGGCTGGTTCCTTTAATTTTGTTGATATGTATAATTAAATATGTTTTCATAAAACAAAGTATATATATTTCTAGATGAAAAATACGAGATATTGAACATATTGGAATTATTTAACAATGCTTTGATTGTTTATCTATATTTACTACTAAACAAAATAACTATAGTAATGCTATATTTTGGTGATCAGACTAATCTAACACTGTATTAATAAATCCAGCAATCATAATGTCGAATATCTATTTGCTTTTATTTTGAAACTTTCAAGATGAGTCTTATTATAAACCATAATATTTAGTCAGTACTATTCATAACAGTTAAAGGCATTATTTTGTTAATCGCTGCAGGTTTATCCTCAAGATCAAATAAATTTATTTTGCTTGATAAGCGTTATTGTGTCCGTAGAATAGACAGATTTAAAAATACTATTTGATATCATTGAAAAGTTCGTATAGTTTTAAATTAACAATTAAGGATTATGTATAACATATTTCTGGTTGAGAATCTCTGAATCTGGAATAATTCATCACATATAGATAGGTATTAATATTTTTATTTCACGCATACAAATTGTCGAATATATTGTATAATCTTTTGTTAAATATTGAGACTAATTATATTGTGTACTTTTGATAAACGTTTTTTAGCTACTATGAAAGATGTGTATCATTACAGAATAATTATGATAAATAATAAATATGTATTCATATTGTTTTGAATATATTTGTCAATGATCTTCATATTGGTTAGTAATACTTTCAAAATATCACCTCTAACATATTAATAAAATATTTCCTCATAACCATATTTTAAGAACAGAACTTTATTTATTATTAAAACTAAGTGGATTCATGTATTAAAAAATTAAATAACGATTATCTCGCTAACTGCTACTGAGTTTTAAAATATATTATCTGGTTATTACTTTTTTCATTTAAACATATTACAGCATACGCAATTTATATAAATAATGAATATATCAAAAATCGGCAATTAAATATGATTGTTAATGGCATTGCTTCTATATAGTAGTTAAAATATAAAGACAGTGTCATATTCTGGATCGTGGCATATGCTTTGGTAAGAATATATAATATGTTTAAAAAGATTAGAATCTATGGAAGATATTAACTTGGAGACAGTTGTAACGGTTAGCGATCTGAAACTTGATATGGATATAGAACATTACACTATGGAACTAAATAATATGTCTATTTATGATTTTTCTTCTACATATGATAATATATACGATGAATCAAAAGAACTTAGAAATATAGACATAACTTTATTTATTATTTCACATCTAAGTCGCATTGTTGAATAGAAGATTCTCAGCTCATACAATTTCAAAGAAGTATCTATTGTTAAAAAATATAATTATTATGTGAAAGTTAACATATTCAAATGCAATGATAAATTAGAAAATATTTTTAATAACCATTTTAAGTTCTGATAATAGATATGTTTGTTTAAACTAAATAGTAATTACATTATTTTATTAAAATGACTATATCTAGAAAAAAATTTAATAACTATTAAAGTAATATGAGGAAGGGGTTAGGAAAAGGACCTAAACCAGATAAGGTTGGGGATTACATGACTTTTGATGATATGAGTAAGGTGGTAAAAGGCTCATTTGAGTTCTTGTTAGGTAGAGACCCTCCTAAGAAATTGGATGATTATGAAAATTCCATTCTAAAGTACGCCTTGCTTAAGTATCCTGCCATGTCCAACCCTAATGTCCCATCTAATATACCAGTGATACCTACTATGTTGCTGGCAAGAGCAGTATTTCATCATGATGTTAGTGGTGGCCCTTTTGATCCTTTTCTTAGTTTTGTAGCTCTAGATGATCTTCCCATTCCTCCTAAACATGTCGTTGAAAAAGCACAAAAAGAGTGGAATGATCCAAAATTACATGTTTTTAAGGAATATTTAGTAACTAGTTGGTCTATTTTAGGTAATTACGAACTCGAAAACCTCGAATACTCCAGAGATCATCTTTATCTAGCTAAAAGAAACAATATAACACTACCTAAAGTAAAGTTAAATGACCAAGATCACGAATACCAGGATATGTTAAGAACCACTCCATACTTTTGGCTGGAACCTAGAGTATTCAATATTGCTCAGGGGTTTCTAGTAGATAAGAGACTCATTCGTAGAGAAATGGATAATCATATATCTAGAGATGATTACGATGGATCATATAAACTTAATAAACCTTTCTACGCTATTGGATCTTATATGGAAAAGGGAGAATGTGACATAACAATCAAACTTAGAGAGGAGGGTTATGAAATTAAAGACGTATACTACTTCGATAATCTTGTGAGACAAGCATTTTTTTAAAAATTCACAAACACTTCAATATTTGTATGACAAGTTTTACTATTAATTCAATAGCTTTGCGAAATAATATTATATTGACCCATTTAAATATATTAATAAGAGACTACATAATTTCATAAAACTATATTAAATTGTATATGTAATTGTGTATATAGAATCTGCTAAGAATATATTTAATAATAAATACTTTTGTGACAATTATTAATTTAATTAGAAAACATAGTTTATATAATAATATTTTCGATTATGTGATTATTCATCGAGGTTTCCTGATATTAATGAATTTTTAGACAAAGTTATTAGATATAATCAAGTAGCAACTGATTTTATTAACGCTGATTGTAATATTACAACTTTAAAAATACCTAGATTAGAAAAAAATAATAACCTTAATATCTAGTCAAAGAGTTATCGGGTGCAGTGTCTGTGAAAATTCCCTTAGTGATCTTGTCGATGAAAGGACTACTGTAGTCTTCTCCGTTATAATATTTTTAAAAGTATAATATTTAGAAAACTTGTTTCAAAAATTGAATAATATCGAAAATTATATAATATTTAGAAAATGAGTTTTATCAAGTCAAATCACAAAGCGGAAGACTTAATCAATACTATTCTTAACACTACAGTTAAGGACATCATTCCTTTGACTACTTCAGGTGTATCTTCAGGATCAAAACTTTTCGGAGCTGCGATTTTTAAGAAAGATACATTAGAATTGGTTCATGCATCAACAAACAATGAACAAGTATCTCCATTGCTACATGGGGAAGTGAATTGTATCCAGGAATTCTTTACTCAGATTCCAGCAGAGTCTCGTCCAAGTCCTAAAGATTGTATTTTCTATGCAACTCACGAACCATGCTCATTGTGTCTTAGTGCTATTACATGGGCTGGATTTAACGAGTTTTATTATCTGTTCACATATGAAGATTCGCGTAATGAGTTTGCTATCCCGTACGACATTCAGATCTTAGAAGAGGTCTATCGAGTTGCAGCTCCTAGTGATACTGAGGAGTCTCTGAAGAAACGGCCTCTTTACAACAGAGACAACCAGTTCTTTACCTCTCGCTCGGTGAGTGAAGTTGTTGACACTTTGGATTTCTCTAAGATAGATGGAATTAAACAGCGTGTCAGTGAAATCAAGAGACAATATCATTCATTGAGTAAAACTTATCAAGATGGTAAAAACGAAGGAGTTCAAAGCTCTGCTGTGTGGGCTTAATATTAAGTACTTTTAAAATATATGATAAAGAACATTTTGTTTGGCATCTCACTATATAATTTATCTCAGGCTCTTATAGATAATAGTTGTATTTAGTGATAGATGTTTTACTTTGGAGTTTTAAAATGGAATCCTATGAAGAATAATGTACAGGAGGGTTGTTTCTCACTTATATCGCAATTAGAAACTATAAGAGAAACATACCATTGTAGAGAAACTATAATAAGTATATATTTAAAGTATTACCTTTGTTAAATCCAACTGTTATTATCAATAATCACCTTTAAACTATATTTATGATATTATTTCATAGTATTTTTCAAATTATCATCTCAACAGGAATATTGTTATAAAACATTTACTTATAAACATATTTTTAGAAAGGGAATTATATTTCTCATTGTAAACCAATTAACACATTAACTTTAATTAAGTATTCTCTTACTAACTGATATCAACTTTTAAAATATATTAACCAATTACTTCTATGCTTTTGTTAACTATTACATTGTGGGTAGTTTATATAATGAATATATTAAGTTTTGACCAATTAAATCAAATTCTTACTGGTAGTGCTCCCATAGAGTGGCTGAAGAATATAAATTCCAAAGACGGTGTTGATTTCTGGATTGTGGCATATGTCGTGATAAAGAATATATACCCAGAAGATGAAATTAATTCCGAAGTTTTGAAAACTATAAAAGATATTGATCCGTATACAATAAATTCTCTTAAAAAATTGGAAACTATAGAGAATGTTAACTTGGAGACAGTTGTATTTACTAGTGTCGGTAATCTGCAATTTGACAAAGATATAGCATATTATAGTATGAAATTAAATAATATTCCTGTTTATGATGATTATGAATATATTCTTACATATGATAATATATACGATGATGCGAAAGAACTTATAAATATAGGCATAACTAAAAGCAAGGGCTTTATCATTGCACATTTGAGTCTCATTAATGAATGGAAGATTCTCAATTCTCACAACCTAAAAGAAGTATCTATCATCAAAAAATATGATTATCATGAGAACAAAATTCAGCCATTCAGATGTAATGATGAAGAATTAGAAAAAATTATGAATGGAACGTTCACTGGAACTATAGATTTTAACGATATTGAACGTAGCCAGATTGCGTTCTGTTCTATACTTAAATATCCTTATCTCAGAGATTTTGTCTCTAACAAGGACGATTATACGATCAATGCTGCAATACAATTGGTTGATATTGTCTACTACAATAAAAATCCCGGAGAATGTCTTCTATATGCAATGCCTAATTTCCTTCCTCTTGATGCACTACCTATTCCTCTCCAGAGTACTATTGAAGGATTAGATGATAGCTGGTGCTATTTTAAGACTGCTTGGGCTATTCTTGGAAAATATGATATAGAAGGACTCATGATGTGTATGGAACACAGAGAACTAGCATATAGAAATGGTCTCTATGAACCAACAATGAATATTAACTGGCATCAGAAACATCCAGTTATCAGACTTGGAGACAAAAGTTTAATTGAGAGTTTATGTCTCAACAGCGTGTTTGAGATGTTTTACGAGGACTACGGAGTTGGTTATCCTAAACAAACAGAATTTCATCTATGGCTCTATTATCTAGGTGTGGATAATGAAGGTTCGGAGAATAAATGTTATGTCCTTCCTGATCCTAACAATGTTGTGAAACCTGAGAGACCGTGGCATAAAATATTTCATCAACTTAGCGATGATGTCAGAATCTTCCTTGAAAGTTAATTGTATTTTTAAAAACAAATATTTTAAACACTATGTATTATAATGAATGAGTTAATTACACAAATTCTATTACTTATCTAAAATGTTTTTAATGGATTATGAATATACAGATAACACAAATATATAGATGTAATAACTAGATAACAAAGAATGAATTAATAGTTAAATAAATATTAAAGCTTGGATGAATATTTTTACGATATTATTATGAATTACCTCACTTCATGTATATCTTTATAACATTATATATCTTATTAACGTTACATTGAATATTTTGGTTTTCTATTATTAGTTATAGACTCAATATAGTCACGATACTATTGTATAACTCTCAACAATATTTTTACCTTATGATATATAATATATTTTATCAAAGTTCATAAATATCTGTGTATCATAGTTTGTAATGTTGGAGTTATGTTTAACAAATATATAAAAAGGTATTTACTATTTTAGCTATGTTTGATGTTTTGAATAATTTATTATATATTAGTTATTACATTTATTTTCACAATTGTTATTATATCGTCTTTTAAAACAAATATTAAGTAACAATTAAATATTAATACTTAACCAAAATAATGTTTTAAGAATATAAAATTATCGATTAACCAACTACTAATCATTATACAACTTGTACACATTATGTGTCTCTCTTATAATGATATATTTAGGAATTATTGTCGTGTAAGTACAATGTTATCTCAATAGACAGATTGATGGTTAGATTTTTATTCGTATACTATCACACACATTTATATTGATTTTGACATATATCTTTTATAATAGTTTCGATGTCTAAGCTGTTTATAATTCTATTTATAAGCGTAACATCTGGTTTAGTCACTAAGCTATTTTTGGTGTTATTTAAAAGCTTTCCACATTGACCAACATCACCTTTTATCTTTAATATTATACATCCAGTTATTTCATTATTTGTGATATCTATATCTGATGTGTGACGAATCTGCTTCAATCTCACGCAAGCAAGACCTCCTAAGTCATTGACTACAATTTGTATCATAGTGTAAGGAATTTTATAGCTGCCTTGTGATGATTGTTGTCGATATATTCTATCTATTGTGAATTCACACATAATTACAGTATTAGATGATTTGATAACTATTTTATTTGATATATCTGTAGCAGTTACAAGGGTTTTATCGGTAGGAATAATTTTTATAAACTTCTTGAGGCCAACCATTGTATAGAACAATATACATATATGTTTTATAAGATACATAATATTCATTTTCATAACTATATACAATTCTTAGTTATTTACTATATTTAGTATTTACACTTTAAAGATATTTTTCATACAAGTTTGATGATATGCATATTTAAAATAAGAGCTCTTAAGTATTTTCATATATTATACACTGACAAGATGAGTAACTAGTTGAGTGAGCAGTTGAAACATTCAGATAATTATCAAGTAAATATTTTTTTCTAAAGCCCATTTGTGTTTATTATGCCATTGAATCTACATTCATGTTACGTTTATATCTTTGTTTCAATATAGAATTAAATGATATCTGTACCCTTCTAATGGAATATTGCTTGTGATGTACTAACTTATGAGGTAACAATACATCTCTTTTGTGAATGCCACATTTGTCTAACATGAAACCTACCCACCGGTCCTCCCACATGTTGCACATACCTGTACCTGAAGCAGAGCAATATGCAGTGCAACTTGGCATGTTACATTTACATACCTTATCTTAGTATTGAAACCGCGAAACCATCCACCAAACCATGTATTATTGTCTTGATCTAACTCATTATTGTATCCCTTTGAAACACCGAAGTAGACATCATCGCGCATTGATATAATAAACGACTCAACTCGAGAATCAACAATCGTATCGTCATCAACCTTAATAGTGTATTTAAATGCAGGAGTACGATTGAGAGTCACGTAAATAACTAGTCATCGATTTTATTTCTGTATTTGATAATGTTTCTACACAGAATGTGTTGGATGGAGTTATGAATTTCTTGGATCTATTTTGTCTGGATTCAATGGTGAGGCTACTGACAAGTCGACCGTTCAAAAGGCACATACACTACCTCAAGTTAATCCTCAGCTTGACCACAAATATTGAATAATACGCATATCTTTATAATTATACATATCGAACGATACACATGTCACACATTGTATTTCATAAATTATATGAATATTACATTTTATTTTTCTGTGACATAACTATTTATAATGATGATGACATTATTGAGTGAATGGATTAATTTGTTTATGTCCATATAATATATAGATTTTTAAAAGTTATTTTCGATATTATTTTATTGATTAATTTATATTTTAAAAGTTGTATATTGTGAATGAACTAACAAGCTATATATGTACATCTATAATGCAAATATTTTAAGTCTCATTGCTGATAATATAATGTCGAGTCAAATATATATTGTCAACCAAATATTTACAAATCTCACACATAATACATTATATGGAAAACTTTATGTTTATATATGATAATGTGTTTTTATACATAATAACACATACATCGCTTAATTTAACTAATATATTTATATGATAATACTTTACGTAAAAGGTGAAATAATATAATAATTTATCTTTGAATGTACTAGTCATTATTGTATTTATATCTTTATGAAACATCTTAGAAAGTGCATAAAATCTACAGCTGAAATTAGTTGCTCAATCAATTCATCTCTATCTTGTTTGTCCGAGGTACTCTATGTTTGGATTACATTAAGTTTTAATTATATGAACAGCCATCATAATATTTTATTTATAGAATGAAACAGGATATAATGAATATCGATAAGTCAATGATATCTTTAAAAAATACAGCTCCTGATTGATAAGAAGCGAAGATTAATACTAAAATGTAGATAGTTTTTTTTTTTTTTCAATTAACTATTTAACGATTAGATATTTAAGTTTTTAACTAACTAACAATGAATGTTATACTTGTTATACTTACTATATTAGTGCATTTCATTATGGAGTCCAATTGTCTCAATAAAAAGGAATAGTTCTTATTATTTTACTTGTTCTAATTTGTATTTCATTATTCATCTTGTTTATTTTTTCAAGAGTATCCGATGTTTTTAAATATAAGAATGAGAGCTCAAAGATAAGATATCATGTTAATATATAATGAGACTGTGACTATTAATTTTTAAGCAGATAAAAATATACTTGTAATTTATATATAGTTTGCGAAGATCGTTATTTTCGTTTCTAGTTAGTTATCATAGTGACACACATATCGTAAAGAGAATATGTACCGATGAAGTAAAATATGTGATCTTTAATTAGAATACTTGTGAAGCATAGAATATAGTTTACCTTTCAATACAATATCTATTCAAACAAATAATATATGTAATATCAATAAGTCTAATAAGACAATATACTTTTCGAAGACATTTAATTAATAGAAGAAGAAATATTGTATTTATTTAACAATATAAGAACTAAAACATATTTATCAAGTATGTGCAAAGTTAATATAATTCAAAAACAAGAATACTAAATTGCTATTTATAATACATGTAAATAATCTAGTATCTGAATACTTCGTATATGTAATAAAGATAGCCTGATATTTAATTTATAGAGACAATGATATTAATATAAGTTAAAGTTGATAATTTTTTGATCAGTCCTATGCAAAGTATCATAGTTTTTATTATGTATTTAAGAGCTACTATTATCGTAGTAATGAAAAGTTTTAATAGGAGTATTCTTAGATTAGTATTTTTAAATATAAAATAGATGTTCGTTCATTCCAATAATATAATGTCCATCGCTCTTATCGATGTCACTACAATAATGTTTCGATCAAAAAGCTAGTTATATTTTAAAACAGATATTTATTAAAAGATGTATTATGATTTTATTACAAATAATCCAATCATATCGTCTATTATTTATATCATAACCATGAGACTCCAGCATTGACACTATTTCATGTTCCCGTTGTTCAAGTTTTCCAGATATCCGATTAGCTTCTTTTTCATACAATTCGAACTCCTTATGGTCTTTTCAGCATTGGCTATGTAATACTTGTTATGCATAGTAAGTTTCATATAATAAGGTATATCTAATATACATTTAATCACACTTTCAACAAAAGATATAAGGGGTTAGTTCTAATTATCTGGTCTTCTCTGTTTATCTTGTTGAGTTTCTTATTAGCTCTTGCAGCCAGGAATAGATGTTTCATGCAGTGGTTAAGATCTGATAGGTTGTAGTCAAATGAACCAACTAGTTATGTAATAGTCTTTCTCTTCCAAATAGTTAACTTCCCCATAAATGTCTGGCCTCTATTAAGATATCTTTCAGAGATAGTGACAGATAATCCTTTTTGAAGACGGTTAGTTATTTATCAACGGTATATCTCCGGAAGAAATGCAATAATTCTTTAATAATAAAATACACGATATATCTACCAAAGCATCAAGACATGGTTATCAGGAAGCTAGTATATTTAATGTACTTCAAAAAATTAAGAATATTGAACTGCTATCTGTGAGACATGTAGATGACCCAGTATCTGGAGAAATTATATATTTAGTAATAAAGATAACTTGATGTTTGAATTATCGAATGAATTTAGTTGTAGTGATGGTGATATTAATATATAATGAACATGATGTTTTACTTAGTCATATGCTAAATTATCATACTCTTTATTATGTGAATAAGAACTACTATTACCGTGGCGATGAAATTAGATACGAGGACGAACAAGAAAGAAATACATGAAGAGCATGATTTGTTTGATTTTAAAAAGAATATAAACTATTTCCAATTTATTAATATACCATACTCACAACAACGAACATGAATGAAGTATAATCAAGAATGATAACGAAGTAATTTATAGTAATGAAGATAGTTATCTAATAACAACATTATATCCAAATAGTTCGCATTAATGTGAAAATAATATTTTTTTTCTCGATCCATTTGTTATTATATATAAAGTAATATATCTATCCTTGAATATACAAATCAAGTAACTAATATGGATGTGTAAACAAATTGAAACGCGACATGAATTATTTAAAAACTAACACCCGTTCTCCTATCATAAAGATGTTTATTTATCTTCAATAATGACTGTCAGATACTAAATAAATATAAAATAGTAAGTTAGATATGGAGATGTTGAACGTGAAATTAGAATATGTGAGTATGATGATGTAAGTTTATATGTATTATTAGACAAGTCACAATAATTCGACAGTATATATTTATTTAAGTTCTAAACGATATAAAATCAGTAACATATAGATAATATTTCAAATCGTCAATTTGATTAATATATTACTAGACTTACTATGACAATAATTTGAATTTTGTAATTTTATAATATTATTTATAAAAATATAAAGGATTAAAAGAAATATTAATATATAGAAGTTCATATATTTCTAATTATTATGGTTGATAGGAATAATAAATTTGTGGATAATACTACTTATACATTACTCGTAGATAAGTGTCAATAAATAACATTGATGTGATTATAATTTTTAAAATAATTGAACAAGTAAACCTTAAGTTTCTGAGTTACATAATTAGCAGTTTATATTTGGTTAACAATCTTATATTTGTATATAGTTTTTCCTTTACACATTATCGTATAAATAAATATTATAATTTATATACATGTACCTTATAACATAAATTGTGTATATAAAACATTCATTGTAAAATATATAATGTTGTTGTGTGTGAGTTTATAACATATAATACCAATTTATTCAAACACGAAATTCGATTCAGACCAATGTTTTTAATTTATGTTATCATATTTATTATAATGTTTCGTATGTTAGTCTTTAAATACATATTTATAATATCATGAGTAATTATTAAGAACGATAGTTTTTCTGTATATAATCATGCTTAATTGTCATATTTATTTTATGTTATGTCTTATTTTATACTAGCTTTTGTCGATTGTTAATATAAATATGTAATAACGTATATTTAGATAATATCTCTTTTTTGTGTAAAATTAAACTGTTGAGGGATTTATCTAATTCACTATAAAAAGTAAATTCTTGTAGCAGTTGAGATTTGATAAAATATCTTTTTACTTTCCTAATATTTTAAAAGTCTATCTGCTAAACGTACTCAATATACTTGCGGATAACTTCGTCAAACTCGATTGGATAGTAACCTGCAAATCTCCAGTTAATTACCCCGATTAACTTGTCACCTCTTACAATAAAGCTATCATATCTCAAGAAGGTATGACAAAAGGCGAGTTTACTAAAGGAAGTAATAGATGATAGATCTCTAGCAAGACCGTAACCAATCTGTGTCTTAATAAATTTCTGTGGAACCTTACTGTAATTATATGCATTTATTCCATATATATCTTTACAAATATATTCCACTAAGTATTTTATATCCATGCTCTCACAAAGGCATATAGGCGTAATAGCGGGTCCAGGAGACATACCAACTTCGGATCTTGTACCCAACCACCATCTGTTTGATCTTACTTTGAGAAACTCTCTTAACTTCTCTACCTGTTTCATAATTTTTTCTTTATGAAGATAATTATCCCATTCTTCAATAGATTTAAAAGTAAGTCCAGAACCATCATCTATTGTTTTTAATTTACCTCCGAATTCTCGATAAAGATCTTCGGGCTTAGTTTTACTTAGACTTACCTTATCGTTTAGCATCACATTAACCTGAACTATTATTCATAATAGCATTTTAAAAGTAAATGAACGAAAATATTAATACTAGCGTTATTTAACTTTCATAAAAATATTGTAAATCAACTATAATTTATTAATTGGTATCAAAATATTAGAGTTGTTAAGGAATCATAAGAAATATGCATTAGTCTGACAAACAAAGTATTAAAAATATAAGAAAGTATAAATAACTATTTATCGTTAATATTGTTGAGTATAAATAATTCTCATTATTGTCATAAAGATATAATAACAATAGATATGTTTAAGCAATGAAATAATATACAAAAATGTAACAACTAGTATCAATCAAATATATAGCTAACATATTTAAATATAAGTAAAAAATATAGTTATTAACTAATAGATAGAAAATCCATTGTTTGATTAAATATAAATAATGTACAAGAGAATATTATTGAAACATGTTTAAATGTATTTTATTTTCAAAACTTGGATATAGAACATCTTACTTATATAATATCGCAATTTGAAAGAAGGTTACTACTTTTTTAAAAATAAGTGAATGGAAGTGGATAAAATAAATATAATACTAAATAGACATACTACCTCATATAGAACTTACTAGAAAATATGTGTGTTCATGATAAACGGATAGGAAATATTAAAAAGAAAGCGAATATACTTGTAAGTAGATATATCATAAATATTTTCTTAGAGTGTTATGTGAATGACAGAAAAAATATTTATTGAGATGATTTTGATAGTACCATTAGAATACAAGTTCGAGAGACGAAAGTCAGGCTGGCGGAGAAGAATAATGTGTTTAAATATATAGATGGTCTTTGCATTGAAAATATTATCACACTAAGTAGGAACCAAATACTCAACTTTTGAAGATATGTTTTAAAACTAATAAATATCTAATGTACAAAGATATCATAAAGTATTTTTATAGAAGGATATATTATATCAAAATTATAAAACATATTTATATTAAAGGATGTAGAAGAATATATTAGAAACTTACTATTAGAAAATAAATATCAAGATCGGATTATTTCATACGAAGTGATAGGTAACTACAAAACAATAATTTTTGCACTATTTTCTGTTCTCCATGAAATTTTCGTTATCTGTCTGAAGATGTGTTCATCTGTCCTTATGGAAGAACCTTTATCTCTTTTCTGATATATATTTCGGTCGAAGGTTACTACAATTACTGTTTGAAAATATATACACTGTCAATTCGGAATAACATCGGTATCTCATATAATATTTGAAAATAGTTACATCTTTGTGATATGTACTAGTGCAATGTAAATATTGAATATAAGAGTAATGATACAGGTAATAATTTAAAGGCACAGTATAATGAGATATAACATGTAATGGGATATAATTATTTATTAAACTTCTTGTAAATTATCAGTGTTATGAAAGTAAGTCTTTAAAAATTCATATAGCATTAATAGTTATTATTGGTAGTTATTATTGGTAGTTATTGCTGGCTAGAAACATATTAAACGAAATGGTCATATACAAATAAATAGTCAAAGGACATTGTCAATGTACTGCAAATATATTTACAATTATTATGAAGATATTCATTAATACATGTATTAAAATGTTTGGAAATACTTAAAGCTTGAGCACCATATAAGTTAACCTCAGAGATGACAAAAAATTATACTTCTATTAATAACTATGTATCTGCCGATGGAATACGATTAGTTGAAGGTATTTATGAAAAAAGGAGATTCTATATATGCATCTATGGCCAGACAGGTGCTGCTAATGCTTATGACGACGTTGGAGAGGATCCTAATGATCTTCATCTCATGTTTCATGCTGACTACAACTTTATAAATTCAGGAGCTTTATTTGGTTTTGAACGCGATAGTGACAGACTTATATTAATAGTATGGTTCAAAGAAGAAAAGTACTATGTGCATTATGATGACTATGAAGGAGATACTTTGCTTATAAAGGATAAGCCCGAAGATCCATTGTTCATTACGCCAATGAAAGATCAGTCTTATACTTATTATGGAGATATAGTACTGTTCAACATAGGGAACAACAAGTCACATTTTGAAATAATGTCAGGTGGGGCTTACTGGATGATCAAGAGTTGTCTTAAAGGTGAAGATAAAAGTGCCATATTTCAATTCATATCAAAGTAATTCATTACTTACATTTCACGTTCGTATTATATTTGAGTATGATAATTAATAAATACGTGTCTGGTGATGGATTTCGACTATTCAGAGAATCTTATTCAATACCAAAATTCTATCTTTGCATATATGGTAAGACAGGTGCTGCTGGTGCTTATGACGATATTGGAGAAAATGCCGACGATCTCCATCTTATGTTCCACGATGACTATAACTTTACATATTTTTCTCCGAAAAACAATTATTTTCTTTCAGAAAATGTATTCAGAGGTTTTGTTTGGATTCGAACGTAATGATGATAAACTTATATTAATAGTTCATTTCAAAGAAGAAAAATATTATTTGTACTACGATGACTATGAGAGATATGCTCTGCTCAAAAAAGACAAACCAGAAGATCCTTTATTTATCGAACATGTAAAAGACCAACCATGTGTTATGTTTGGAAATATATTTTTGTTTACTATAAGAAATAGAGAATATCGTTTCAAATTAGAATCAGGCGGTTCTTACTGGGAGTTTGAACATCTCACTAATAATGAAACGAGCACAATATTTCAATTTATATCAAAACAAGATCCGGAAACTTAATAATCTTTTAAAACACAATATAGTGTGTGTATACTAAATATATTTATCATAGTAAATAAAACAAACATAATTATAGGGAAAATAAAATACATTTGAATAACTTCGATTGTTTTAATGATGATTGTTACTCAATACGTAATTGTGGTTATAATAGTTAATACAAAGATTAAATATTTCCAAGTTTATCGGAGACTAAACAGAAGTATAATTTTCGCAAACTTATATCTATACACAGTTATGATTTAAAATGAATATGCAACGATAACGAAAATGTTGATTGATCATTATGTTCAAGGAGATGCTCCTATTAATAGAGAACGAGCAAAAATTAATCCTTTGTCACTACAATCTTTTTTCAGAATCGAAGTGAGTGCTTGTCCGCTAGGATACATATATAAAATTATCTGCGAAGAAAAATCCATTTCTTTTAGAGAACATGATTACGAACGGGCTCTAGCTGATATTAGAACGAGAGATGACTTTTTTGCTATTTACTGGCTTACTTGGAGTGACAAATATAAAGGAGTCACGACCTATCCTCTAGATACATTTTGTATTATAGATCCGCACAATATTCTACGAGATATTCTAGAGGGTTATGATTGCGACAGATGCTGGTATTCTATCAACTCTATTGACGATATTGATACTCTCCCTTGTACCAACGAATATGTGTGCAATATAAATACTTTGTCAGAAGCAAACATCGCAATATTTAAAAAGAAAGATATGCGTATTATTAAAGATGATATTATAAAAGAATTTAAATGTTCAGCTCATGACGTAGCTTATTTTGTTCTTCATACTAAAATTCTTGATGATATCAACATAAATGAAGCACTGGAAATAGTCCTTAGCGGATCGTATTCTCAATCCGAGTTTTAAAAATCATATGATAGATAATTTATTAATGAATTTATTTCAATAAGTATAATGGAGTCACATGCCTTAATTGACTATATATCACAATTATATTTATGATAACAAAATATATTTCGTTACAAATATATTTGATCGTATCATATTTTATTTTTTACTATTTCGAGCGTTTCCTGACAATTTTTAAAAATGCCGTTTTAAAGCTATTACGTAATAATTCTGACAATGAGAGTTTCTGTGAGTGTGTTCTTCCTCGCAAGTGCTGCCCTGGCGGCAGTAGAGTGTCCTCCTAAGTGTACCGGGAATGCTAGTGACTCCAAGAAGTATGAGAGTATCTCTGATTTTTCATCTTGCAATGGAACAGTGTCTTTTAACTTTGTTGATTTTTCCGATTTAAACTCGACTAGGGTTTTTGCTTGCACTCAGGAAGAGAGAACTGACGTTACTGATGCTAAAAGTTTTTCTGCGTCTTTGTTCACTGCTCCGGACAAATGCATGACTGCGAATAATGATCCTAAAGACATTGAATGGGGATGGTGGGGAACCTCTCAGAATCAATGGAAAGAAGGAGGATTGAGTGTAGCTACTACTTTGCAGAAGTATATAAGAGATCCTAGTCACTGTCAGGAGATGACGACTTTTGCTAGTAATGGAGATTTTTATGGCGCTGTGTATGCTGGCTCTATGGTTCAAAACAACGGAGCTGCTGCTACCATCATTCAGTATCTCATTGACAATATTTCGTCAGGTGGAATGCCCAACACTAAGTATGCTCAATACTGCGATCCTTCAGGAGACCCCGCCAAGACTGTAGGTATTATCATCGATTCCACTAATAACAAAAACGTTGTTAAGAATGTTGTTCAAGGATGGAGTCAGGGTAAGCCTTGGACTGGCAAACAAGACAGCAGAATTTGGAGTAAGAAAGATCTTTGGTTCTTTAGCTGGGATAATAGGAAGAATGGAAATGCCAATCCTGACCCCAATCTTAACGAATGTAAGTATGAGAGGATTAGACAAGTTTCAGATCCTGCCGGAGATGTAGCAAAAAGATGTGGAATTACGACTGATGCTCTGGAACTATACAATTCTGGGGTTAATATGGGAACATTGAAGGTGAACCAACCTGTTTGCTGCAGTATTGGGAAACTACCCGATTTTAAACCGAAGCCTAATGGGGATGGTAGTTGTTTCGTTCATACGGTGGCACCTAACGAGAGTTGTGAGTCCATTATAGCAGCTTATCCTCCTCTTACTAAGAATGATCTATTTACCTATAATAATGGTAAAGATGGAACTTATGGATGGATGGGATGCGATAATGGTTATCCTTGGATTAATACTAAAATTTGTCTCAGTAGTGGGACTAGTCCCCGCCCGAATTCCGTTCCTGATGCGGAATGTGGTGATCTAGCTCCCGGGGACAAATACAAGAGTGAATGTCCTCTCAAAGCATGCTGTAGCAAAGATGGATTTTGTGGTCTAGGCACCGATCATTGCGCAATTAAGGATTCTCCTACTGGATCTCCTGGAACATCTGGTTGTTTTTCTAACTGTGGAAAGCATGACATGGTGATAAACCCCACTAAACCTGCAGACTTTAAGAGAATCGGTTATTATGAAACTTGGAGTACAGGTTGGTCTTGTATGAATGGTGGATTGAAATCTGTGGACTGGAGTAAGTATACTCATATCCATTATTCTTTCGCAGATATAGGAACTAACTTACAAGTAACTATGGATAAATACGCTTCCAATGAATTCGAGAAATTCAAAAGTATTCCCAGCATTAAAAAGATTCTTAGCTTTGGGGGATGGGGTATCAGCACTGATATATCCACTTATGAACATCTTCGTAATGCTATGTTGCCAAGTAACGTTGATGTCACAGTGAGCAACTTAGTTAAGTTCGCCAATGATAATAATCTTGACGGATTAGATATTGACTGGGAGTATCCTGGCGCTCCTGATATTCCTGGTATTCCACCTGGTAAAATCGCTGATGGACCTAACTATCTGGTATTTCTGAAAAAGTTAAGAGCTAAATTGCCTGTAAGCAAAACTCTATCTATCGCGGCGCCAGCATCATATTGGTATCTTAAAGGTTTTCCTATTGCTGATATGTCAAAGGTTGTTGATTATATTATCTTCATGACTTATGATCTTCACGGTCAGTGGGATTACGGTAACAAATATACCGGTAATTTCCTCAAGAGCCATGTAGATGTCAGAGAAATAATAGATATGTTCTCTCTTCTGACTTATGCTGGAGTTGATAGTAACAAAGTAATCATGGGTGTTGGTAATTATGGGAGAAGCTTTAAGATGTCAGATTCCAACTGCTGGCAATCTAATGGAGTATGTAGATTTACAGGTCCTGATAGTGGTGCACAGCCGGGCAAATGTACTAACACAGCAGGTTATATATCGATGGCCGAAATCCAAGAGATAATCAAGAAAGGAGACGGTAAGGTTGTTACGGACTTTGGTAGTGACAGCAGTATTATGATATGGGGTAGTGACAATTGGGTAGCATATACTGATGAAACAACAAATAAAAGAAGAGAGACAACATACCAGAATACATGGCATACGGGGGGAATAGTAGAATGGGCTGTTGATTTGTTAGGAAATAGTAACGGTAGTGGTAATGGTGAAATAGTTGCAAAATGCAATATAGATATTAATATAGAAGAATCAAAGTGCTCTGATGAGGAAAAAGATGATGCTATAATTATCTATATCAATGACGTGATGGGAAGGATGGATATGTTAGTAAGAGGGGGGCTTCAGGGTATGGGGAATGATAGTAATTTTATTAAAAGCTACAAAAAACTTATAGATAGGTTTATAACCCTGAGAGATGCTTTTATAAATAAGAATGTCTCTAAGAGGGGGATTCAGAAGTGTAAAGGATTCGCAGGTTTTTCACTTATAGTTCATATTTCTAAAGTGGTAATCGATGCTATCAGTAAATTGGCTGATGATAGTAGTGTCCCTGATCCATACAGGCAGCAGTTGAGCTATCTTGTTAATTCTATAGCAGAAGACAACAACCCTGACTCTATATACTCAGCACTCAACTGGTTCAGGAATAACATGAAAGAATTATGGAATGACGCCTGGGAGAGTTTTTATGAAATAGTAGGAAAGGTAGGAAGTTTTTGGGATAATGGGCTTTGCGGCTTGGATGAAATTGGTGACTCTTTAAACTATTACGAAGACGCTCCAGACGCATTTGATATTTGTATTCCCGAAGATCATAACAGTTCTAATGATTTATTTCCTCGGATAGACTTAATCACACTTAAAAAGAGAATTAATATAGATAACTTGAGAATACCAAGCGAGTTTGCTAATGTTCCTCTTTGTCAAATAGGAGAGCTTTTCCGTCCCGAAGACCCTACTCTCCCCGTTTACTATGTTAATGCAGGAGGAGAATCTCCAGGTGTTGCATGTAATGTCGCACGGTATATTCTTAGAACAGGACAAAGAGTGTTCACAAGAGACGGTCAAGGTAACAGGAAGAGGAAGCCCGACAGAGATGAAAAAGACACAAGTACTAATCCTACTACTTATCGGGGCTCAACATCAGGATTTGTATGTGGGTACGGCAATGCGATAGTTGGAGGAACAGTGACAAGAGTTCGTATGGCAGGATATGACAGAGAAGAATTTCCACTTCAATCAACTATAGATGGCCTAGTTCTGAGAAATGGGATGACCGCAACTGAAGCACAAGTGGGAATGGTTGATGAAAATGACAATCAAATAGACGGTTCTAATCTTATTAGGTTCTATGCGAGAGCTGATACTAATGAAGTATCGGTCCTAGGTAATCCAAGAAGGATATCAACAGCTCTTAGAGGTGCCTATACTTTAGTTCATAGTTGGATTCTTAGAGATCCTGTCTTGCCCCATGACCCTATTACTAACCCTTACAGACATGATATGCCGTCTTTAATGGCAGGACCTAACAATCAAAGACACGTTGACAATGATGGAGTTATTCTTGAGGGAGATATGTTCAATGTGGTCATAGCTAGCCTTCCTGAACACTGTCTCGATCATATATTTGCACCTGCCCCAGTCGCACAATACAATTATCCCAACTTAGATAGGAACGGAAGACAGGATCCACTTCCAATGTTAAACATAAGATAGTGATAACAAATCTAAAGTCTTTTTAAAACTATTATTTTTTTAAATCAGACTTCTTCAATGTTATTTTCATTATGAAATCCCTCAAGTTTTATTATACTTTCAAAGCCACTGTCTTCTAGCATATTCATAAGAATAGCCTTTTCAAGTCTTTTTTCTGATATATTGAGATGTAAACCTGTATAAGACGAAATATAGTACCTGTCAATATCCTGATAGATAAAATAGAAGTCTCCGGTGAGAAAGTCTTGAAATTCGTTAAATGTTTTAACTGCCTTCTCATTAATAACATCAAAGTCCAATGTCTTATAAGTCTGAATTACCATAGAACATGTGTGATCAGTCCAAGAGGAGTCTTCTGGAATAAATATTATATAAGAATGAGAAGAGTTGTTATTTCTTCCAAAGGAAGTTAAAAAATTATTTAACCTTAAGAATTTATTTTCATCTAATCCTATATATTTTACCATTTTGTCTAATAAAGGATCTTTCAACATCTCTCCAGTGTAGATATTTCTAATGTAATTAGTACCAACCCTTGATCCATTTCTGTTAATTATATAACCAGATACTACATAGTAGAATGGATGGTTAGGATATCTGTCTGAGATAAAAGAGTCCAATTCTTCCGGGTTTGTGATATCCTCCTTGAATATAAGTTCAAACAAAGAGGGGTCTAAACCTCTTAGAGGAAAGTTGTGAACACAAGGTACTTTAATATCCATCATTAAAGAACTTGCAATCGATATGAAACAATTTATCTCCTGGAAATATTTCCTGAAGTATCTAATTACTGACATAATGATATTTTTAGAATATCATTTTAAAAAGTCACTGTAATCAGTTGGACACAGGTATTTGTCTCACCTTACTAGAGGAAGATGACGGTTTCTCACCACCAATGTAATTCATAATAGTTCTCATCGTTAGATCTATACTAGATTTAGGAGAACAATCAACGCTGATAACAATCTCTGTATCACACTTAGCTGGCGGCACAAAGTCTTTTCTTTCTCTATCAAATTTTTTCATATCTTCATCTATTATATCACTAATCATACTTCTTGCTGTAGATATAGCATCTATTTTTTCACCAAATACGAATCCGCATGAGCATCCCCCAGTAGTAAAAAGTCCGCTTTTTCTTCCACATATACCCTCAATCCAATTAGACATTCTCTGGAGACAAGCCTGATTTGCAACCTTCACTAGATCCATGTCTTTAGAAGAATAACTTGAAGGAAAAGTTGGTTCCGAAAAAGAAAAATCTTTCATGGTCCATGGTCCACATCCAGCCTTTCCTCCAGGAATCATATCAGCATAAAGCCATCCCTTGTTAGTCCATGCTCCTTGAGAGAGAGCCATAGCTATATTGCTGTGGTCATGGTTTCCAAACAACTGAGATCCAGTCCAAAGAGTTGAGTTGTCCATCAGAATAGAAACACTATTTCCATAATTCCTCTCTCCAGGAGGAATAGCATAAGGGCTAACACCTACTCCAATCTCAGAAGCGGCGCAGACACCCGCTATAAAAATGATGTATAAAAATCTCATGTTATCAAACTTCTGAAATATATACGTCAATTATAAATGAATTCTGCGATTTTTTCAGTGTTTCTACTTCTTCTTTCTAGCGCTCAAGGTTGTTTGAAAATAAAAGGAGCAGTAGGTGGAGGGTCATCTGGTTCGGGGTATATTAGCTTTAGTGATATTACTCTAATGGATGATGGTGTAGTGGTGCTATCCCAGCATAGTACATCAGGAAGTCCTGTATTTGTTAACTCGTCAAGCAGCTGGACATCTGTTATAGTTGATGAAAAGGAAGGTCTTATTGGAGTTTCAAGAAAAGGAATCGATATTCTATTAAAAGTTAATTCCGTTTTCCAGACATCAGGAAATATACAACAGTACAATCTTAATGGAGAAATATGGTGTTAATTGGACCACACAAAGAATCAGATTGATATATAATCATTTGATAAAAGTATCAGTCATGTTTCTCACTGTTGAAGCGTCTTTTTTGCTTCTCCAGATAATATTACTCTTCACAAATTTTTTAATCATGATGTTAATAACGAATACAATGTTTTAAAACATCAATAATGATTTAGGGGTTTGCTATACCTACCGATAATTAGGTCAACTATTTATTTTATATATAAATATTTTTAACCGACCATATTCTAATCAGTAATCTCTTACTAACAATTGCAAGAAGTTATATAAGAAATTGAGCTATCTCCGGATTACCTTTTAAAAAATTATCAACTAGTATTATCGTAAAAACTTAAATTTTTTTCTAAGAGTTTATATTTAGAATATATTACACAATTTTATTCGAGATACCAAACTCATAAATATAGCAATAATACTCATACAAATTAGAGTAAACACCGCATACTCCCAACTTGTAATAGTCATCATATCTTATTATATTTGAAACAAGCACATTTCTTAAGTCACAATAACTCAATACCAAGATTTCTTTCTGTATGCTGTCAACTCTTTTTGTACAAACAGTTGTTTATAAAAGTATTTATATAAACATATACAGTACCTTGAAGAGGTATAATAAATATATAGATGACTTAGCAATGAAGTAAATCTTATCTTGTTCAAAATATATCCAATCTAAAACATTTGCTGATTATCAACTTTACCCAATCTTTCATGTCGCTCTAGGGTGTCACAATTGGCGCATATTTTGAAATCGAATACGAGAAAATAACTTATTTCAAAACTATAAACATCGGCAGTATTTATTATGAGGTACCTCATAATCGATGTGACGTATTTGTATTTTGAGTAAAAGAATAAATCTGTCGCATACAGCCTTTTATCTGTGCGTCCTAAGGGTGTGCTTTGTTCCCTCGTGGCTAGTCTCACGTGCCCATACACTACAGATGTGTTTGTTAACACCTATCTCAACAAATACCCCCTCTATTTTAAAATATAACAGCTACCCAATTGCATTCATCTGTTTGAAATTATTACTTATTATAAGTTGATTAATACTTGAAGTAGATATTTTCTAAAACAATAATTTATATCATATGTTTTATTACGTGGCATTTTGGTAAAGCGATATCACAAACTATTTCTATTTCCTAGAGTATAGACTACTAATATATCGATTGTAAGGTAGATATTGATAATGATATAATTTTTTATAATTAAAATGAAATATTTGTATATAAGAATAGTTATTAATTACACAGTTATTATCATATATCAGATTTTTGTGCGATAGAACTAATACATATTTCACTTCTATTTGTACACAAGAACAGATCACAATTAGTTTTTTAAGTATTTACATTTTAGTTATGAATTATTGACAATATAAATTTACTAAATCTAATACTAGATAAATATCAAGAGTTAGATTTATTTTGTGTGTTATATATTTTATGTACTACTTGAATGAATGTTACGGTAGAAGATATGAACAACTAATATATTATCTATCAAATTGAATTATACTTTTAAAATGGTAACAACATAATAACTATATAATGACACATTATAAATAGTTCATGTCTTGAATATATAGTATAACAAATAATATGCATTATCTAATAATTAGAAACATATTCTACAAACGTCTGACTCTTCTTAAATATGATCATGCTAAATATATCATAAGAAATTATAACTACTTGATCTGAGTCTAATATTTTTTATTTGCTATTAAAGATAAAATAAATACAAGAATAAACCAAATTCAGAAAGACATATATGCAATTAAAGATATGTTAATCATACATTGATTTTAAAAAATTAAGTTTGCATTAATGAATTTGAAAAGGTACAACACTATATTAAATTAACAAACTAACCTAATTTACATGATCATAATCGAGTATCAAATTTTTGTTTTAAAATATTATAGAATAAAGTCATCGGATATATAAAAGATATTCAGAGATTATATTCGAACATAACCACGCATATTACAATTCTTACATTTTATAGCATATATGAATTTGAATTTGTTAAACTTGATGATCTGGCGCAGGTACACACTAATACATTATTATAACAGTATTTATTCACACAATTAGTTTTATAATTTCCGATTGTCAATATTTAGAACATATGTCTAAGATTAATAACATATAAATTTAAAATCAAAACTCCCAAATACTGTAATCTTTATATGTTTTTGTGTTAAATTAATTATTATATAGAATCACGATATTTACTTTCAAGAAGAAACTCTAACATAAACATTATATATTGCAAAATTATCTTAATTTCTGGAGGAATTAATTTATATATTTAAAAGAGTAATTTTTTTATATAATTATAAAACTAACAATAAGTTAACTCTTTCATATATAAAAAATATTGTCGATTGATTTACTAACATATTATTTTAATTTTTTATATCAATATCCCTTTATTAAGTAGAATAATTATATACATTATGATACAACTATATGATACAGTCAGTGACTAAAAATTTAAACGGGTTATTAAGCATCTAAGGTAACTCAATGTTTCTAATTCAAACAATAAAATATTTCAATTATTTACAGTTAATTATCATGAGACAATACATTTAAAAACTGTTAAAATATTATTTTAGATAAATATATAACACATATCCTATGAAAGTATTTAAAGATCTAGTTATATTCTCAGTAAGAGAATCTATAAAAAAATCTGAGATGTTCCCAAATGTTATAAATATGGATAGAAAACCAACTACTTCAGAAATTATGAAAGAATGTCAAAACTTTAGTTCGTTCTATTGTTTGATTGATGAAAAAAATAGTCTTTCTTATATAGACCTAAGTAATTTCGCCGAAAAAACTATAACAGGGGGCGTTAATGTCACTGGTTTTGTCAATTTCGTAGAAAATTCCAGAGAAAAACTCGCAGATTATTGGGAATATATAAAGTACAAAGAAGAATTTCGTGAAATAAGAAAGAAATATATAACACAGGCGATTAAGAAAGTCGAGGAAGACGTAGAATGGATGGAGTTTGATGATGAAGAAATTTGTTTTGCCGGAGATGGTATAATGATTCTGGTAGACGATAGATCCGAGCATATTTTTCCATTAAGTAAAAATACATTCAAGCTCCCCAACTTAGACAACGTGAATACTGAGGGAAATATTCTCTTTAACAAATTCAACTATTTCTTAACCAAATGGTTCTGGGTCGCTATAAAATCTGAAGAAGAGTGTCATCTGTTTGGTAAGAATCCGCCATTCCATAAAGTAATCAACAGTACGTATCTAAGAAGAATTTTATGCAATCCTCACCTAGGGCAAGATAATGTGCTTATTACTATAGAAGATAGTATATAAAAATAACTTTTTTTAAAATGAAGTTTCTAATCTTGTTTGCTTTATTCGCGATATGCCATGGTCATGTAAGAATGGCATTGCTTATGACCGGAAAAAATGCACTATTTAGAAAAGCGGGTGTATATGTGGTACAAGACAGTAAGAGGATAATCAGAAAAACTGTGACCGACTGGAATCAAGATATTGAAATAGATCAGGGAGGATGGCAAGTAAAATGGTGGTCCAATAAAAACAATTGGGATGAAGTAGAACTCAGAGGAACTAATAATTATAAAGAATCCTTCAAACTATCTAAAATAGGTAGTGGAATGTACTCAGTTGCAGGAATAGCATGTACAGCTGATGAAAGCCCAATATTCAGCACATTCTGCTTGGAAAGCACGAATACATGGTTTGCTTGGCTTGCTAGTGAAATAACACCACTAAGAATGTTTTCTCCTATAATGAATAACTCTACTAACCAAAGTATGGAAATAAGAGAAGATTTATTGAAAGCCATACAAAATCTCGGAATAAAGAAAATAGAAATTTGAACGATTTTATTGCTTTGTTATTTTAAAATGTTGAGGCGTAGTGTCATATTTTCATTAATATTAGCATGCATCTAAGTATGTCTATCTAATTGTTAGTTAATTTAATGGTTTTATTCTAAAGTCTAATATATTGTTAAATTTGTAATAATATATTTTAAATCATCATTAACTTTCAAAATATATTTATGCGGGAGGATAAATACTCTTTGACTATATCATGCGAGTCTAAAGTTCCTCCTATAAGCATCGTTGTATAACTCATCACACGACATATCTTTATTATTAAACTATTTTAATAATATATTGCGCTGATAATGTGCTTAAAATTATTTACGCTATTATCAATATATTGAACGTACAACGTTATGATACATACAAATTATTACTTATATAATAATACGCTATAAATACAAACAATTGATAATTTCCACTCATTTTGAAATATAATAATTATTATCTATTGTATTATTCGACAATAGATAGAGTTATTGATTTACGTTTTAATACTATAGAAATCTTACATTTTCTCACTATATGATTTAAATTTATAATAATCATATTATTCAAATTATGACTAAACGTGCTATTATAATAAATTTAGTTGTTATAAGTTTGAAATACATATGTGAATTATATTGAGTTTTAAATACATGAATATATATGTTATCTGATCATGATAATTGTTTTATATTAAATAAATTAAGATAATAAACATGGGAAAACCAACAGCGATTACATATTCCCCTGAATTTTGGGATGATTATTATTTTAACATAGTATATTCATTAGACGAAACAGATCTTACCAAGTTAGTTAAATTAATACCTAAGGATGACCACTATCCCATTCTTCTATGTAGAATTCATTGATGGTTGTGATAAATTGTAGATAAAGAAACGTTGAAGTGAAATTAACGACATTGGTATAGAGAAAGATGGTGGAAATATTCAATGCTAATAAGAATAACTATGAGATGATAAGAGATATGTGCAAGTGTAATGTTATTGGTGGTAAAGCCAATAGTGGCTATGATGTTCCTGTTGTTACGCATAAAATGAGTTTGAAATGATAAAGATGTCCTATCTGTCATGGAATATACAAACTGGGTAATTACAACAGATGACAAGGATGATCAAGTTGCTAAAGGTTGCGAAGCTTTTAAAGTCATGAAAGAATTCTCTCAGCAAACAGACGTCTTTATCATTGCTAATAATAAGGTTGATTGTTGGTTAGTGAATGACAATACTGGTGAGAAAGTACAAATCACACATCATGATGCTGAACAAGGAATTATAATATGCGAAGGAGATGAAATATCTTTTAAAGCTGCACTAAGAAATTTGGAAAGAAATGATACTATGATCTACATTTGATGTCTTAACGAACTAAAGTTACTTAATTACAATCAGACGTAGATTTTGATTTTAAAAGCGATAAAAATTTAAACGAAGTAAAACTGGACTTGTAAGGAACAATATTAGAGACTATGAAAAATATAACTATGTTTTCTGATGTAACCGACTACTGGAGTGATAATGATTATGTCCAGTTAATCGATATATCTAACAAGAAAAGTATCACCGAACTCGCTAATATGATTCCATGTGATAATACTATTCCTTTCTTTGGAGTAGAGTTTGCCTATAACCGTAAAATTAGATTCTTCGATAAAAACACGTTGCAGGAATTCAATTGCCCAAATCCGTGGTGGCTCTTTGAAATAGTTAATATAGACGAAGATAATTATAAGTTAATAAGAGACACATCCAAGTGCGTGTCTGTAGGGGGGATTCCAAATAAAGGGAGTGATGTACTTGTAGTCACATACAAGAGAAGTCTAGAAGATGACTCTGTTAAAGATGTTATAGAAGAAACTCAATGGGTCCTTGTTATGGAAGATGGTTCTGATCAAGTCGAGGGAGGACTTAATGTTATTAGAAAACTTGGACATATGTCTACAGGTACTGATCTGTTTGTTATTGCCAACGGAGATGATGATTATTGGATAGTAGATGCAAGTCTTATGCCAGGAGAACCAGAAGGTTGCAAGGTTAAGGTTAGTCAGTACAATGCCAAATATGCTGTAATTATATGCGGCCCATTTGAGATATCTTTTGATCTAGCTGTAAAAAACTTGCGTAGATACAATAGCGTGGGATTTGATTGAAATATTTTTAATAATAAAGATGTAAATAATTTATAACTAACAGACATTCTACGAAATACCTAATACGAAATATCTATAACAGTTATGTTTTGTTTAGTCTTGAAAGTAATATTACCAGTTTGAATTGAAGAAACACAAATTATGGTATTAATCATAATAGTGAATTAATAATATATGTAATACATCTTTTAAAATATTTACATCAACAAGTTTATCTGCTGCAAGAACTTACATTTAATCATACCACATATTCTTTGTATACAAAATAAAACTTAGAATAACAACAATTACTGTCTATATAACCACAATATTTATTTGTCTCATGTCAAGATTGAATGGTATTAGTCAATCAAAAATATAATTAAAGAGAATTTTTTATTTTAACTAAACATATGAGATAGTAATATTCAAATATATAATTATCATATAACAAATTGTGGAACTTATTTTTCTTTATCGCATATATCTTCATTATTAATAAAGAATGTATAAACTTCAATATATGCGCAATAATACTTAACATTAATTTTGAGATTGTTTATATTATCATCAAAACAATATGAGAGTTGTTTATCAACCATAAAAATTACTAAGAGTGTGATAAACCGAATTGCTAATGACATTATGCTCATCATAAATAATACTTACTCATATCTTTGAATTTATCTTTTAATATATAATGTACATTATAGTCCATGTCTTTTGTGAAAGTTATCTCAGTTAATATTCGATTTTTGCGTTAGATATATTTGAATGATATATTAAGTATTTTCTACTTGATGATTACTATGCAGAAATTCTATCGATACAAATAAGTAATAAGTTATTTAATTTTTTAAAATAATTTACGTTTTATTTTTCGTCTATCATATATTCCAATATTTTCTTTCCTATGACGGTGAATTTAGCAGCATAATAGTCAGCGTTGACAGTGTTACCATTACGAGAAACTATGGAACATCTTGTTATTGTTGATGTTTTGTCCCATATAAGTTTGAATGCAGAGCAAGAGTAGCCAAATTTGTTTACTCCTGTGAGATAGAATCCAAATTTAGTATATGATTCACTAGTATTCTCCACCGTTAGTATGAGTCCTCTTGTGAGTGTTTTCCTCAATTTTATTGTGTTTATTCCAACTCTGTCTAGAAAGTCAACAAGACCTTCTACTATTGTACTTATTTCTAATTTATTATTTTTATCTTTTTTCTCAAGGGTATCTTCAATAGTTATTAAACCTTCTTTTTCTCTTGCATTTAGCAACTCTTTTAGTTCTCTTGAAGAACTTTCCGATCTACACTCGAGCATCTGTTGAATATGAGCTTTAACTTGATCATCACCTAGAACCTTTAGTAGTTCAGAGAGATCTTGTTCTTTTTTAATCGTTGTTTTTATCAAATTCACATCATCCATTTTATCACTTACTATATTGGTAAAGTCTGTTCTTAAATTATACCAAAGTTATCTCACAAACTATATATTTAATTAAAACCATTTTTTATTTTCTAAGACAAAAACAAAAGATCATTAATTCCTTGACTACAAGATATATGCCGATGTAATAAAGTTTTATTTATATATAATTACACATATTTTTATTATACATCAAATTGCTCGTTATTAGAACTAATAACTTCCTTACTTCTATTATATATTACAATTAGTTTTCTAAATATCGTTATAAAAGTATCAACTTAATTATAAATACTGACGACATATTTTTACTAAATTTAATATTAGATAATTATCAAGTTTTATAGATTTTTAGCACTGTCTGAATAAATGTTATACCAAAAATTATTATTAATATGAACAACTAATATATTATCTATCAAATTGAATTATACTTTTAAAATGGTAACAACACAATGGACATATATAACAAAAATATTTGCTGTATACTGGCAGAAGTAGGTCTTAATCTAGGCAGATTTTCTTTTTATCAGAACTTAATAGATAAGAATATTGTATTTTATACATCAGAAGAAAAATTAAAGAGACAAAATAAACTATTCTTTTACATCAAAATTAACCGATATTATTGTGAATTTATTTCAGATCTAGGAATATTCAGATGTGATCTCAAAGATAGAGTGGATGCGTTGTATAAAATAAGAGGGAGAAAAGAAGTTTTTAAAGCTATAGTAGAGAATTACCCAGAATACAAAAGAATAGAATCTAATCTATACATATACTCAAGAAATAATGTTTCTAAAGATATAAATATACCAGAAGGGTTTATGGTAGTGAGTTCCATAGATGAATCTCTTCTTGACAATCCTATTCTATGCGGTGGTATCTACATTTTGTGGGATAACGATAATATACAAATGGTCGATTATTATACAAATAAAAAATACAACATTAAAGAAGAAGATATATCTTACATATTTGAATTAAACTTCAATAATAACTTCAGTGCAGAAGAATGTTACAATTATGTAGCCGCATACAAAGAAAGACTTAAAGCTGAAGAAGAATATAAAGAGGACACACTATCAATGTATAGTTTTACTTCTTCATCATGTGAGGCTGAATTTTAAAATAAACAAATATTATTCAATTGAAGTAAGATAAATAATAATAACCTTTTAAATTTGAAACATGTACACAAATACAAACATACAACAACACATCATGAAAGTTCATTGGGCAGCATACAACTTTATCGATAGCCATGATCTAATCCGTGACTATGAAAAGAACAAGTTTTACATGCTGATGCCAGATTACCATTCCTTTGTAATCATCCTCGATAATAATACTCTAGTATGAGAAAATATAGAAGTAGCAATGTATTCTTTACATTGAAGTCTATGATGAAAAGATATATTCGATAGCTAATTGTGCTTGACAATAAATACTATATATGCTACAAGGAACTCACTGTTAACGTGTCTGAACAGATGGATAATAATACATTATTTCTAGTACACACAAACTCAGTTCCTAGTTATGTATATTCATACAAACTAAGCACAAACAATATTATACTCGAGGCAGCATCTCGTGGAGGTTATGATATTTTTATTGAGAGCACTAGCGATGGGAGTGAGATCTTTTTCCTATCATGCTAGAAATTCTTTTAAAAGGGTCTACTATACCTTATATTCGAAGCATGAAAATGCACTCGTTGTAAGCAAAGTCACACATCATAACACAATCAGTCCCATCAGTAAAGAAGAAATCATATCTTGCAACTCCTTGACGAGAACCACACTTATGTTTAGATTTCAGATCCTTCTTCATTATGCCTTAGTATTATTATATGTCAATATGATTTCATTATAATATCCTAATTATCCACAACACAAGCACTACTAACGATGTAAAGGAACTTATTCTTATAACCCTTGTGCAACTCCAACTAAAAGTACATCCAGAGTGATGACATGCATATTGCTATTATATATTAATCACACTAAGATCTTTAAAGGTCCTATCCGTAGGAGCGTACTATCTTGCGCGCTAATTGCATATGAAATGTGTACAGTTCCTAGGCACGTAAGTTTGATAACGACAAAGGTTTTGACAGATTAGTACCTTAAGGCATTCTCAATTGCCACAAGAAAAGATAGAATATTATCCACCATCCCTTCCTCCCCTGGAAATATTTTTCTATTTGTCTCTGATCACGTCTTCTGCAAATTATATTACTGACATACGTGAGCACAACTTAACAGAAATTAGTAGAAAGAAGATACCATCATAATGTCTTCTCCATATTCAAGATCGTCTATCGTATTACGTTTAGAATATGATTACACCTAAACAACTACCGAGACCTGTCGATAAATAAAAAACATTCATATATAAGTCATTCTCTTATCATTATGTGATTTACACAACTGCAACTAGCATTTATTTCATCACAAATCACCCTATTATCAGTAATTAAAATGTTCTTTTAAAATATTTCTCTACAACTTACTTCTTTTGCATCTGGTGTTCCAATTTCGCCATCCTCTCATCCAACCTATTATGCCAAGGATGAAGCATAAACAACTGAACGTTGAGCGCAATCACCCCGACTATCAAGTTGACGATGGGTAGTCTACTCTTCATGTCGACCTACACACAATTACAACGGGTTTTATTTTTTAGATCAATTTATGACATCGAACTGTATGCTTCACAGGAGCACTTGACCAATTCAAAGTGCAATGAATATTTTTGAATGCCTCTATCGTAAAACTAAAACAACATCTGAATTTTTAAAAAGTTGGTACGAATATGAAACTCTCTCTTTTTCACTGTCTCTGATCCATGCATTCTTCTGTTCCAACAAAATTCATATACGTTTATCCAATGATGTTTGTAGTTATTCCATTCTTCTCTATATTATCTTCAGTTCCGAATATAGATGTTCATAACACATATCATAGTAGCTTCTGAATAAAGTTCTTAACACATTGCTCTCGAGACACTTATCGCGAACTAGAGACTAATTTGCGATCTTGTTAACCAAATCTTGAGGAAGCATTTTGTCATACTCCTTGGGCTCTCATGAAATGGCCATACATAACATACCTACAGATATATGGTATTTCTCTTCATAAATTTATTGCGTGCAGCATACAATTTTCAATATCAGAGGATTGTTAATGTGAGATATCCATTCTAAAGTCATAAAGATACTTCTCTATTGTCCCTTCTTGAAAATTTATATTGTCTACGTTATGTACATCGACGCAGCCTTTCTTTCATCAAGAGTTAGAACTATAAAATAATGATATATACGAACTTTGACTATTGTGAATTTATTTCTGAACTAGAAACATCCAAATGCAAAGATAGAGTGGATAACCTGTACAAAATAAGAGGAAGGAAGAAATCTTTAAAGTCATAGTACAACATTATATAAAAGAATAAATTCTAATCTGTATATATACTCAATAAATACTGTATCAAAAAATATAAACTTATCAGAAGAATTTATAATAGATGAACATCTTCATGAAATTCCTATAATATATACCTTACTTGTTTGAATTAAATTTTAATAACAAGTTTAGTACCGAGAATGTTACATATAAGGAGAGACTTAACGCTATAAATAAATATTTTCTAGTGTTCCTTGTGTATATGTCGAAGATATTCAATAATTACTCTACTTAAAGGTTATAGTTGAAAATACTATTTAATATAATATTTATTCTTAAGATATGAATTAGTATAGATAAATAAATATGGTAATCCCTCTATAAAATATTCAATTAATGTTTATGTATAATATGTTTAAACATTATCAGGTATGTTACAATATGGATTATAAACTTCAAATATATTTAATCTTCATTATTCCTAATCGTTGTAATAATTTATTAACTATATTAGTGATATATTCGTATTGTAAATTATTTGTTGAATTTGATGTTTTGAATGCTTGTTATGATTTATAGAGAAAGAGTATAATGAGTTTATATTTTAATTATGAAACAAAAATATTTTATTTATAGATCATCTGGATATTTTTCATATTGAAAGTCTCTGATTCAACCATATTAATATAAAGGTTATGCTACTATATCCGTTTCGGAAAGTATTTGATATAAACATGTTTTATTTTATCTAATTAGTATCTATCACTACGAACAACAAGAAATAATATATTCTGGTAGATCACAATACTTATTCAAAAACATGGTAGATATTATTATGTCTGTTCAGAAATAGATTTACTGACTTTCTATTTTTTTCGATATAGACATATTTTATGTAAAATACATGTTTCTAATTTTTTAATTATCATATACCTAATATTATATATCTAAGATTACCGAAATATTTACAATAATAACAGGATTACTTATTTCACAAATATCTAACAGTATATAAATAAAACGATATTAAAATAATATTTGAACTAAATATGATATATGGTGATCTGCGAACACATTATCTATTAATTTGAAATACACCGATGTAATGTATAATATCTTTTAAGTTTACAATTTAATATTTTCGGATTCAAGTAAATAATGAAGGTTAGAGGGTTACTCCGTCAATACAGAGAAATACTTTTATCCAACGAACCAATTATGTTAATGACAGATGCATCATTATCTCTATTAGCTACAAATATTAGTAACATCATAATAACTATTGTTATATAATGACACATTATAAATAGTTCATGTCTTGAATATATAGTATAACAAATAATATATATTATCTAATAATTAGAAACATGTTCTACAAACGTCTGACTCTTCTTAAATATGATCATGCTAAATATATCATAAGAAATTATAACTACTTGACCTGAGTGTAATATTCTTCATTTGCTATTAAAAATAAAAGAATAACCAAATCAGAAAGACATATATGCAATTAAAGATATATTGATTTTAAAAATTTAACTTTGTATTAATAAATTTGAAATGTACAACACTATAACCTATATTAAATAACAAATTAACGACTAACCTAATTTACATGATCATAATCGAGTATCAAATTTTTGTTTTAAAATAGTATAGAATAAAGTCATCAGATATATATGAATTTGCATTGTTAAACTTGATGATCTGGCGCAGGTACACATTAATACATTAGCTCATTATCATAACAGTATTTATTCACAAAATTAATTTCATATTTTCGATTGTCTATATTTAGAACGTATGTTTAAGGTTAATAACATATAAATTTAAAACTCGCAAATAATGTAATCTTTATATTCAATATGTTTTTGTATTATATTAATTATTATATAGAATCACAATATTTACTTTTCAAGTAGAAACTCTAGCATAAACATTATTAACAAGATTATATATTGCAAAATTATGTTGGATATTTATTTCTGGAGGAATTAATTTCTTTTATATATTTAACCACATTCCTATATGTATAACTTATTTCTATATTTTAAAATTATATAAAGGCAACAATATATTAATTTTTTCATACTTGATATATAATGACAAACTCATATATATTTCGAAAAGAATCATTGTCGATTGATCTACTATTATATTATTTCCATATTAATATCCTTTTTATTAAGTGTAATAGTTATATACATTATGATACAACTATATGCATTGCACTACAGACTACGACTAAAACTTTAAAGGAGTCATTAAGCATCTAAGGTAATTCAATATTTCTAATTCAAACAATAAAATATTTTAATTATTCACAGTTAGTTCTTGTGGAACAATATATTCAAAAATTGTTAAAATACTATTTTTCAGAGAAATATATAACACATCAGGTAACTCATATCTTATGAAAGTCTTTAAAGATCTCGTTATATTCTCAGTAAGAGGATATATGGAAAAAACTGAGATGTTCCCAAATGTTATAAACATGGATAGAAGACCAACTACTTCGGAAATTATGAAAGAATGTCAAAATTTTAATTCATTCTATTGTTTAATAGAAGAAAATAGGGAACTCTTTTGTGTAGATTTAAATAGTTTTGAGGAAAGAAATATAACAGGAAACACCAATAGCACTGGATTTGCCAATTTCGTGGGGAATTCTAGAGAAAAGCTTGCGGATTATTGGGAATATATAAAATGCAAAGAAAATTTCCGAGAAATAAGAAAGAAATATCTATCCCAAGCAATCAAGAAAGTCGAGGAGGATGTAGAATGGATGGATTTTGATGATGAAGAAGATCATTGTTTTGCGGGTGATGGTATAATGATTCTGGTAGACAATAAATCAGAACATGTATTCCCATTAAGCGAAAATACATTTATACTACCCAATTTAGATAATATGATTAATGAAGGAAATATTCTCTTCAACAAATTCGATTATTTCTTAACATCATGTTTCTGGGTCGGTATAAAATCTGAAGAAGAGTGCCACCTATTTGGAAAGAATCCGCCATTCCATAAAGTAGTTGACGGTAGACACCTAAGAAGGATTTTATGTAATCCTCATCTAGGTCAGGAGGAAATACTTACTACTATAGAAGATAGTATCTAAAAGTATTTTAAAATGTATTTCAAAATTATTTTCATATTAATATTCTTTTTATTAAGTATAATATCTATATATATTATGATAAAACTATATGCATTATACTACAAACAGCGTCTAAAACTTCAAACGGGTCATTAAGCATTTAAGGTAACTCATTATTATAATAGTATTTATCCACACATTTATTTTCATATTTCTGTATTGTCAGTATTTGGAACTTACGTTTTAAAATTAATAATATATAAATTCAAAGTCAAAACTTTCAAATACTGTAATTTTTATATTACTTCCGTCCAATGTAATATGTTTTATGATATATTAATTGTTATTTAGGTTACCTAAGTGATATTAGTGTGACCTTCTTTCAATCATATTCGAAACTTATTTCTATATACAATTATTTTAAAATATACATACGCTCAATTAATCGTCCAAAAATCATCCACTGAAGCCGCACTGATTTGGGCAAGGTGTGTAATATTGCGCGTTTCCATCAAAGAGAATATCACAAGTGGGACAGTATATTTTTGGATCTGAATTGTTTGGTTGATGATCTTCGCAATATTCAGATCCTTGGATTTTATCATTATTGCATAGATTACATTCATATTGACCAGCATGAATAGAACAATATCTTAATGAGTTATCATCTCTTCTTAGTGGACATAATGCACATTCTAATTCTTCTACCTCTGTCTGTGTACTCATAGTAGTTTCGTATGTACTTACTGACCCTCTATCAGAACAATTGCTGCAACTTATATCATCTCTCTCACCTATGTAAACTAACTCGATTCTCTCGCATCCAAAGTCGCATAAGTATCTCGTGTCGGTCTGTGTGTGACCACACCTATATAAACTATAATGTTCCTGGCACATGTTTTTCTATAATACTTTCAACATTTAGACTATTTAAGATGTCATTTATAAGAGTGACATCAGCCTTAGTTACCAAGCTATTTTCAGTGTTATTCAATAGATTTCTACATCTACCAGCATCTCCACTCATCTTTAACTTTATACATCCAATTACCGCATGCTTAGTGATTTCTATATCTGATGTGTGAGGGGTCTGTTTCATTCTCACGCACGCGATACCTCCTCGATCCTCGATTCGAATTTCCATCATAGCGTGGGGAATTTTATACTCACCTTGTGATGATTGCTGTCGAGATACTCTATTTATCATGAACACACACATGATTACAGTACCATCAGATGTTTTGATAATCTTTTTATCAGATATATCACTAACGGTTACAACAACTCTCTCGCTAGGGAGAATTTTTATGAATTTTTTAATTCCAACCATTATACAGAAGGTTTACATATATTTCTATACAATATTCATTTTCAGAAATCAAATGGGTATCTGTCTGAATGATAACATGAACTATATTAAAGCTTTAACTATACATTGTAATTGAAAATTTCACTTTAGAAATGATTCTATACACATAGATATTTTTCTAATATATCACATATTTTAAAAGGACATAATAAGAAAAAATTAAGCCAATTTATATCCGCGATCCTTCATCGCATTAACCCAAGTCATTGTGTTGACTATGACGTCTCTATAATTTGCGTGAGCTTTGTCATGTCTCTTTTTAATTACTTCACCAGAAAAGGTTACCTCATAAATTCCAGGTTCCAGTTTCTGTTTCAACAGTTTTTCTACATGGGGGATAACATCTTGATCAGCGATGCTTCCGTCAGACAACACAGCTATATCTATAGTGTTGATTCTTTTTACTTTGTATATAGGAGAATTGTATATACCCTTACTAGTATAAATTGTTCCATCTTCTGGATATAAAGCAATAGTTTCTTTGTCAGTCTTAGATACCAACCCTACGTCATATAGTCTATTCCACATATATACTATTTGATTGACTCTCGACATTCTTTCCGAAAGATTAAGTTTTTTATCGACAACATCAAGCACTACATATTTACCATCAGACATCAACTCTGAATCAAGGATAATATCAATATTGCAATGTTCACTCACTAGCTCTAACCGCTGATTTCTATTCCATGACCAGATACCGAGTCTTCTATTGCCGAACAGATATAATCTTTCACCATCAAGTTTCGGAGTTGCAACAAACCCTTTGATAGTAGATTCTCCGCCTGTAACAAGATTTGGAGGAGGGAGTCTAGGTAGCAGAAATGGATTTCTTTTTTCGCTGAGTAGGCTAATCATGTATCTTTCAGCCATAGATAAATCATTATCAAATTCAATCTCCATCTCTATCTTTTTTTCATCTTCCGAATCTTCTATTTCTGATAAAAACAAAGTACATCCATGTGTTAATTTCTTGATGTGTCGTTTCATCCGTCGCCTTGCTTCATGTGATACATTGGGTGGCATAGACTTGGTGTCCTTTTCAAACGATACACATATATTATACTCGACATGATTAACTATTTCTTTCTTCTTAAAAAGTAATGATTTAATCAACATACTACCGTCATCATATTTTCTTACACTGCAGTTATGATTAAAGACACTAAATATATCATAGTCATTGTTGAAGCATTCATCAAAAACTAAGTTTCTCAAACCGTCGCGTCCTAAAACGCATCTCAACTCTCGTTCAACGACAAAACCTCTCGGTGGAGACGTAAATGCGTCAATATAACAACTAATACCTAGTTCTGTGTTCTTTCTTTTAAACATAAATATCGTATTCATATCGTTAAACATAATTTCATAATTGGACATCGTTACATGTTCACCTACTTTAGCTACTCGAACACAAACAAAGTATTTCGACATCAGGGCAACAAATGCCTTAAACGAAATTTTATTTTCATAAACATTGATGACATGACTATTGTGAACATTCACAACTCTCCTAAGACCTTCAGACCGGATACTAAATCCAGGTGTATTGGTATACATAACATCTTCTTCAAACATCGCTATGCCGTAGATACTCCCGTTACTACAAAGAATTTTGTTTAACTTTTCAACAAGAATTTCGATATTAATGTGAGTTAAACTAAAAAACATATTTATATTGTCAAAAAGAGAATCTGTTTCAAAATCTTCAATCTTTGAGCTCACAACGGTGAATTTAGATCTTTGTTCGGTGCTTATCCCTTTTAAGCGATCCATAAGCATATTGCCTAAACCACCGAAGTCGTTAGAAGTTGGCTCTAAAAGGGTAGTCTTGATATTATTGTTGCGCATGTACTTAGTGACATCCCCACCCTGCCCTGAACCAACATCAAGAACGTTCCCTTTCTGAGTGGATATTATCCTTCTTTTGGCAATATTATGATTTTGTCTAAGTTTATCCATTTTGACCCATGTTCCTCATTTATTCATTTTTTGTGTTTAAAGTTAATTAGTTACATGGATTATGTTCGATTTTTATTTCTGGAAATATTTTACTCTTTATATGATACGATGTGAATTTTCTTTATTGATATTTGACAGTCCTTTTCATAATCTACTCACGTTCATAAGAGAAATAATATTCTTGTAAATAACAACACGTATTTGCGATTATAGATTGAAAGTTAATGTGTATAATAAAAGGGTGATATCAGATCAATATGTATACCGAAATTACTATGTTGGACAATAAACTTGAAAAATACTTGATAAAACCATATTGAAAATATAATATTTGCTCAGATAAAACTTATTTCACAATATTTAATAATTATTAACATAAACAACCCAAGATAAAATATAAATACATAAAATAACACAAGTATTATAGATATTAGTCGCTAGATATTGTCCGGTCAATCGAAACATTTCAGACAGATAAGAGCATAAAAGACCATTTTCTTATTGTTTTATATACACTTTCAAATTAATGTTATAACTATTTCGATACATGTTTATGTAGTTAATGAATTGAATGCAACGTGTTTATAATTTATTTAATTATTCTTCATAATACTGAGCGTTTCTGTCATTGAGGCTCTTACCGATAATTGATTATAATGTATAACGTAAAAAATTTATATTGTTCTTTCTCTAAAAATAAAATGTCCAAGCCTAAGTGTAGCAGTAACAAGAACAATAGTAACGAACCTTGTAAGGCGTATGCTCTCAATAATTATGGATATTCAACTTGCCGCCAGCATTTGAATGATGAAAACAAAAAAGAGTACATTCTGAAGAAGAAAGCTGAGAAAGAACTAGAAGACAAGGAAAGAGAAAGAAAAGGATTGAAGAAGAAAGAACCTAAGCCCAAGAAAAAGGAACTTTTGATTATTATCGAAGAGCAGAAGCAACAGCTTGAAAAACAGAGCACACGAATTGACGCGTTGATGGAAATAATTAAAAATATCAAGGTCTCATAATTTTAAAACTAACTTAATAGTAACCATAGCCGTCATTAGATCAACTGCAATAGGGTCTACTAATTGCACTGGGTATCTTTATTATTTATATTTCATTCAAGTTATGCATATTTACTATCTGATATAAATACCATTATTACTTTGTTAGTCTATGTTCGATAAAGTATCTTTGTAAATACAAATTATAAACTCCCAACACATGTTCAACGTTTTAAAACATAAGATTAAAAATTGACATCAAACCAATTATATAAATTTTGGACAACAATAATCTTTTTGGCCTAGTAAAGTTAAACAATGTCAGTCGAATTCGAAAAACAACAGGACAAATTTACCCAACTTGCAAAAGGCTTTTGTGAATGGACATCATCTATTGGCTTTACTGGTATGGCAAAGGAGTTCTATGACAATACATTTGATAAAGGATTCGCTCCCGACCAGCAAGATGATCGCGCAGTTATTGTCGAGAAACTGCTGCCTATGTGTGAAGATGGATATATACTTTATCAAGGCAACAAGATTAACATAGTTAGACATCTTCAAAGAGATGATCATAAATTATTGGTAACTGCCAAATATTCATATGGTCCTTTTGGATTTTACTTTGAGATCCGGAAGCGAACTGACAAAATAGGAAGATTCTTACTTAGAAGTAACAACGCAGCTTTCAAACCTATGGGACTAAATGACGCTCTTGCTTTATTTAATATCTCACGCGAAGAGTTATGTGTATGGGGATCTGAAGATAATATATCATGGATCCTTGACGACGAGATGAGCATTTCGAAAGAGAATAAAAGTATACAAAAAGATAATGCAATGATAAAAAATAAAATAAAAATACGAGATATAAATATTAATAACTTCGATCTTAATGAGGATCTGGTGATAAAAGTTAGTATGAGTCGTTTTATTTATCACACTATCGATTCTTATATTTCAAATGTTGATGATCGTAACGATCTAAAGACAAATATAGTAAAACAAAAGTTATTCTTTCTCACTCCTGATATGCCATATGATAAGAAGATGGACATTGTCGTTGGCTTCACTAAGAGTGTATCAACAATGAGTAAACGGGACTACAACAATGTTAGTGAGAGGAACAAGATTGATATTTGGAGTTCAAGTCGTAAAGTGGTTATCAGCGACGACACGCACATTGGAATGGAAGCCAGACAACTTCATCCTTCGCACAAAAAGTTTCTATGTCCAGTTGATACTCCTCATGATGCTCACGCAGGGTTGTATGCGCAACTGAGCTGTTTGACTGTTGTTGCTCCTCCACTGACAATACCTGAGCAAACGATACTGGAAACAAATTTGAATAGCATGTTAACTTCAGGAGGAAGAGATAAAGTCTTCTACAATGGTTTTATGGTTGGAACTACAAACAAAAGTGCGCATAATATTTTATCAGCTTTAAGAAAGTTGAATCGGTTGGTTAGTGTTTATCGCTTAGATAATGTAAAAGCTAATAAAGGTATTCATGTTGCAAGCTACGGAGGTCGCCTTTTACGGTGGGTGATGAAGGATGACGATTTCAACAATGGATGTTTTATGTGTCCTAATATGCCTGTTGCCCAGGAGACAACCAATCCCAACTTCTTCCTAGGATTTGCTGCTTCACTGGTTCCGCTGTTGCACCATAATGCCGGTCCGAGAGGAGTGTTCATGGCTAATATGATGAAACAGACTCTCGATCCTCCGCCAAAAACACCTGAAGAAATCCAAGACACAGGAGCAACTAAGAGATGGAACAGACATGACACTAACTTTATATCAACACTCACTACCCGCGCCTTAGGTAGGGACAATTATGGTATGAATATGTTAGTTAAGTGGGCCTGTTACTACGGATACAACATTGAAGATGGAATTGTGGTAAATACTCGCTTATTACAGAAAGAAGACGGAATTATTCAGAATAAATTTGTGCTTGATATCGATAAGAATGATATTTTGGCTGCTTCCAATATTAAATGGCGATCTGATATCTACAATTATGACTCCGATGGAATTATTCGTGAAGGAACAGTTGTTGTTGATGGAACTCTACTAGCATGTAAGATCCATATCACCTCTGAAGGCTTGGTTATAAGAAAGCCTCTTACAGCGGTATTAGATAGACCGTCGATAGTCCAAAATGTTATCAAGACTGAACAACGGATTATAATAATAACTAGTTATAAATATAAACTATCCATCGGGGATAAATTAGTTTCAACAGCGGCACAAAAGGGTGTGATAACTCACGCTGTCCCCCTAACCGAGAAAGCAGATCTAATCATAAATCCTTGTTGTATTCCAAGCAGAATGACTATGGGTCAAATATGGGAAGGAGTGATAAGTAACTATATGCATGAAGAGAAGGTGTCAAAGTCATGGTTCTTTCCACCATTTAACGACGCAGTCATGACCTTCACTAACATGATCAAAGAGACAAAAAACTTGTCTTCAGTTCCATGCCTCAATGACCTCATTCCAAAGAGTGGATTTTGGTATACTTACAATAGATATTTTGTTTTATCTCAGAGAATCGACGAAAAGTATCGGGTAAGAGGCGGAAGTACCGAAAATAACATAAATCCCTTCACAAACCAACCACAAAAAGGAAGGAAGATCAAAGGTGGCTTAAGACTTGGAATCATGGAACGCGATGTTCTCCTATCATACAATGCTAAGAATACTATGAAGCAGTTAATGTCGCGACAGAGTGACGAAATGGAATGTTATCTGTGTCCCAAATGTGAGTGCTATAGTCATCTTGAAATATGTTCTCTGTGTAACATTCAATGCACAAAGGTTACTATCGATAAAAGCGTTATAAATCTAACCAATGCGTTGAAGAATATACCATATAATATTAACCCTTCATCATAATAATAAATCATCCTGTTGATCATATATTTTAAAATTATTACAATTTTGTTAATGTATTGATTTGTGTAATATCGTTATTTTTCTATTAACAATATCGTAGCTGAAAATATGTTGCTATTGAAATATATGTTGATCTAGTGATTACTACTTGTAGTCTTAATGATTACCGATTGGGATAAAGTTCATAAATTGATTAATTCACGCATTAAAATAATATTAGTACATTATTAATTAAAAACTTTTTAAATAATATGGATGGGATAAGATTGTACCAAGCTGATGCTCTGGACACTGGATTTGAGCCCTTTGTATCAGCCCTAGCTGAAGAGATAGTGAGAAATAGTAATAAGACAGTAGATAGAAATTTCCTTGTAATTAGGGAGTTTCCAGTTAGAGCTATCGGAGTAGTTAGTGCCAGAAGAGCAGCTGATGTTGCCATTATCGAAGTAATACAAAGACGCGGAAGAGAGAGAAGAGTAGTGCTCATTATCGAATGTAAAGTTGATAACAGAGATACAAGAATGGCCCTAGCACAGTTGACAGGCTATATGAGAGACACTGGCTGCGAACATGGTATAGCAATGAGTGCAAACATAGCACTATTATACCGAGACACAGGTAACATGCTAGCAGATCAGGTTGGTGAAGAAATCGATCTAAGTTCGGACGAAGGTGTGCGTGATGTTATAAATTTCATCAACCTTATAGAGTAACTCAACATGTTTAATATTATTTTAAAAGACTAATCAAACACATCTTTCTTTTATATATAGTAACGACATTGTGATACATAAAGCATTTTAATTTTATATGCTGCTGATTGATTGTATCTGACGCTATTTTAATTAATACAATACATCTCAAACATCAAAGAATTACATACTTCACTTCATTAAGACGAGAAATCTTATTTTATATTAGACTACATTACATAGCCAAAATTATATTGTGATATGTTCTTTAAAAATACACACTCTGTTGACTTGTGCATTCAAACTAGCAAAACCTGGTTAACATACAATTTATTAAGTGTAAAACTCTTTAAACTAAGGAATGCCGCCAACATGTAATTATATAAAGTGGAAATACATTAATTATTTTCGAATATAACTTGTTAAAATATAATTTCAAAGTAAATTTGTTAGTCCTTTTATATAAAAAGCTCAATCGTCTTCCCGTATAGCATTAATTCGATTTGGTCACAGTCTAAATCTGAAGTATATAAAATTCAAAAACGCAGACTTAAACATACTAGGGATCATAAACAATTACCTTTTCGATATGTACGTATTCTTGCTTATTATTTAATTTTGTCGAGCTATAGAAATAATTTTGTATTAGTTTTTGTCGATATAAAAACATGGCCATATGTTGTAAAGATCATCTTCTTAAAATGTCGTTGTTCACCTACTCTTAAGCAAAAATAAAATATCATTATAGCGCTAATTTTAACTTATTTTAAAATAATATTTTGAATAATACGTCGCTAGTGTCTATCATTGTTGACATAACATAACCATGTCTGTTTTTTCATAGCTTATTTTTATATCTTTTACATTTTCATGAAAAACATTCAATAATATATATTTAGAGCTATCGATCTCTTTCCTTCTAATATGTAAAACAACAATAGTCATATGTTTAACATTTGAACGAGGTAAACAATATGAATAGTATGAGAATGGAATCATCAAATCATCTTCGCGAATACACATATTGATAATATCTGTAATATATTTTTTAACAATTCTTTCTTTTTCACCAACACTCAATATATTACACTTGAAAGATATTATTACTGATTTATTCTCTCGATAAATTTCTATATTATTTGCTATCAACCCGTCTTCTTCTCCTAATATGTTAACTATCCTTGTTGGGATAAGTTCTTGAATATTATAGTTATTACATCTTTTCCAAATGTTTAATAGTATTAATGTTTTTAGGTATATCGTAATCATTAGATTATGTCCATTTATTTCTGTCAGCAGCAATTCTTCTATAATATCTTGGTTTGATTTGCACCAAGAAAACCTATCCAAATTCCCTAATATCTTGGGGTGTTTTATGTACATAGTTATCGCCCTCACTTTGTCACAATATTCTCTAGCCTTTGAGTTTATTATCATTATCACTATTTCATTAATGAAATTTCGGACTGACAAATCATCTTTCATATCTAGGCTGTTGATTGCAAGTCTCTTTAGTGCCACATAATCCATTCTTTTTGCTAACGCCTGTTTGAAATTCATGCGACGACTAGATTTCTGTTTGAACTCGATGAGATGTTCGATACTTTTTTCACCATTGAGATAATCATCAAAAATCTGATCCTCCTCGGTGGAATCTTCAATGTGTTGTTCGAACTCAGTGAAATCTTCGATGTGCAGAATTGAGCAAAGAGAATATTTCATCACAATAATTAGTCCGTTATTTGGGTTACAACTGGCCATGATCTCTCCCTTCACCCAAGATCTTTCGTGCCATTTAGTAAAATGTTTAAAATACAAATTTGATAAAATCAATATAGAATAGTATTCATCATTAGAAGGATCACATTCCAAGTTTTTATAAAGTTCGTCGTCAACCATATTTTCATAATCATCTGTGCCAAGATCAGGGATAGCCAATATTTTATCAGCACCTTTAAATATTTTATCCATCGTGGATATCATTGTCTTTTTTTCTCTTTTATCGTCCTGGTTTATGCATATAGCATCGATCCAGAAATACTTCGGCCTGTCTTCAATGCTCATATCGCGACCCAACTTTAATATAATGTGATGTATTTTACAGTAAGATTCATAATTGAATGATACTATCTCCGAGTCTAGAGGTACGACTTCTCCATTATTACAATTAATATATTCCATAGTCCATGGAGTAACATCACCCCAAGTATATGAGACAGCATAATACCTCTTCCTCATCGCTTTTAATATAGACATACTTTCTATCCGTGAATAATTATCAACTTTATATAGATCCTCAACAGCGTCATATTCTATTTTCACAAGCTTTATCTCTACACTCTTTTCAGAATTAATAACAAATGCACCCATGATATGTTTAGAAGTGCCCTCCGGCGTCATAGATCTTCTTTAAATAAAATTACTTTTCTAAAATTGAGAATTACTTTTTTAAACTAAATTTAATTGTGTAATGTCGTAATGACTGAATATTATAGTATAGCAAAAGATTTATATTCCTTCCTGGAAAAACTCGCTGATGATTATAAAGAGGCCATTCCAGAGGCCGAAGCTCTTTATGGTGAATGCGAAATATTCCGCGAAATAATTTCAGGTATTGAAATAAAAGAAAAAAGAAAAAGTAAGGCAATTGAAAAGATAAAGAAGGACATTGAAGAAGCGAATAAAAAAGCAAAAGAACTTATCGATAATGCTGGAAACGAAAGAAATCTCCTTGGTAAAACAGCTTTCAATATCAAACTATTAGCTAAGGCGAAAGGGTATAGAGCATTATTTGACAAAAAAAGAGAAGAAATAAGGGAGAATCTGAAAATCCTTTCTCAAACACAACATATTCTACGACCTGAACCTCCAAGTAGATTACCTGTTCTAGCCAAGCTGTTCTGGACATCATCTTTTGGAGAAAACACCATGTCTGTAGGATGGTTTGATTTTACCACAAAATATTCACTAGAACTAATTGTAAATGTTGAAGAGCTTGAAAGAATAAAACCTTACTTATGTGTAAACGAGCATGTGACCACTTACTCATTTTACGCCGCATGCACGCAATTCGGATACCCCATTTTGTGTCCTACACAACCGGTAATAGACACAATGGCACTTGCAAACTCAATTATCGATCTAACAAAAGAATTCTATTTGCCAACTTTTGGAACTAGATGGTATATGTTGAGAGATCTAAGAAAAAAGGACCAAGATAGAGACCAGTTCTGCCAAGCCCTCAAGGACATCTTTTATCAAGACAAAGATAGATGGGAATCGATAAACAAAGCAAGAGGAATTGTTTCATCATTATTTCAGAGATACATGATGATCTGGAGAATAGGCAAAGCTTCCCAAGAAATGTTTGATAACGTTGATTTTCCTGGAAAAAGTCGCATAAAAACCTTTATTAGAATTTGTGAGCCCATTGATGAAATAAATTACAAATTTAATCTTAATCTTGAAAATTCAATTGATAAAAAACCATGGGCTAAAGGAAAACCACAAGTATATGATTTTTTACGCACTTTAATCGATTTTCATGATGAATAGTGTTTAGTTAGTTTTAAAATAGCAATTCATCGGAGATGTTATATTTCTCAAAATTTATATCTATATGCCTCCATCCTTAAAATAAATACAGTCCAATTATATTTCTACTCAGAGAGATCCTTCAATGTTTTCAACTTGATAATTATAACGAACAACAAGAAAAGAGAATCGAGATCACTGTATAACAAAATCAAGTCGCATCTAATGAAAATAATATTAAAGTCTTTACATTATTCTATACTTGTATTAAACTATATTTGTTGTAAAGTCATACTATTCAAATATATAGACCAACAACATTATATTACACGAAGCATCTTATTTTTATCTGCTATAGATTGCTTATATATGTTTAAGTACTACAATATATCATGAAACATATATTTCGCTATAATAAGATAAAGATCTAGAATATATTTGTAAATTATCTATATTGCATAACAAAGCTATATTGTATCATATTCTTAAAACCTATGTGTTGTTAATTATTGAACTTAAATTAACGAATTTTATTGCTAAAGAACACCATAATTAATATTTACTAGATTAAATATATTAATAATACCATATTTTTTATCAACTTGTTGATAATATAACTTTGACATCTATATTTGAAACTTACATAAAATGGTATATTTCAAATTAAGAAGTACTGTGATGAGAAAGGTTATATGACAAAAATACCTGGTGAATAGACTTGTTATATACTAAGAATATAAACAACCAATCCACTTAAGATGACTGATACATGTATTTCATAATCACTACGTATACAGTAAGCCAGCTAAGAATCTAACTAGGAAATACTACATAAAGAAAACGTCTTTGCTCTTTATATTTTAAAAATCAAATACCATAATTTCAGGATAAAACCTCTTACGGTTTATACAAAGTATCACTGTTACCTTTTATATATAAAGAATAATTTCACACAAACTTCTATCTCTCGTAATTTGTGCTGTAAAGCTTTACTCAGATAACTCACAAAAGCGCTACTGTTCTGATGTTTAATTGGATGAAACCACACATTTGGAGTTAATATATTCTATTACTAGATTTAGAGAATATATATCATCATTACATGATTTAGAGTAACTATCCATCATCCAGTTTTCTGATCCACGTTTTAGCATGGACGGCCCACTGCTATCGAAGTCGATGATAAATGGATCCATTTTTGCATTCAGCATTATGTTACTAGGATTTATATCTCCATGGACAATGTTATTAGAATGGAGTTCAGCTAACGTTGCTCTCAATGAACGCGTTATTTTCTCTATTGTTACAACTTCTATGTTTTTAATATCTTCTAACCTTGAAGAATATCCATCGATAACAATACCACTGATATAACTGTCCTCGACGATGCAGCCATGGTATGTAGGTACTCCGCGTATCCTAAGACAATTCATCTTCTCGTAGGTGCGTACTTCATCCATGAATGTGGTTTTGTATCCCTTGGAAAGACCAACGTCATACAAAGGTAATTTTTTGATATAGAACAAACTAGACGTGGTTGATGCTGGATTGAATACTTTCATACCGTTGACAAATTTTGGTAGAATATCATCTTTTTTGATTATATCACCAGGAGGTAGATTGCTTTTATCTATTATGTCGTCGATACCAAATCTTACATGGTGGATATCGCCATTACTATCTTTGTAGTTAACGTACTTGACACTGTCTATTGTAATATAAGATACTATTTCATTCATTATTTCTGACACACCGATTTGATGTACAATCTAATCCGATTTCTAATATGAAAAATATATTATAAATATTCAAACTATCTGACTGACTTCACTTTAAAGGCACAATATTATTAGGAAATATTTTTGTAAATCAATATTTTGAAACTTATTACGAGACTAAATTTCAATGTAACACACTGCTGTCATTAAGCAACATTTGACAACGTTCATTCTCCGTAAAAACTCGTATGAAAATAATATTAGCGTCTCTGAAGTCTGTATACTAGATATCACCTCTAATACTTAAAGAATTATTACCTACGAATTTAATATTTCTGAAAATTATTCTTTAAAACAATTAATTTAATATTACCTTATTTTAAAACATAGATTTGTATTAAACTATTTTTGTTATACAGTCATAGGATTGTTGTGAATAATATTTTGGTAGAGATGCTTTATAATCAATAAAAAGCATGAAATATCTAGCTATTTTCCAATTCAGCAACTCTTTCCACAGAAAATAATAGAAATAGTCATATGCGACTTTGACATTTGGATTGATTACCTTTTTCAGATTGTTATGTTCACTATCATAGAATATCAGGAGACATTCAGAAGAAAAACATTCATCTGACTTACTTGATCTGAATCTTGGAAGAACCGATGTTGCTTTAGGAGATAATGCCATCATCCCATTCCAACACGAGTAAACATCAACTGGGAAACCATTTGTTAGATTTTTGACTGATTCATGATCGGTGAAATATGGGTATATAGGACTTACAACTTTCTTTTGTATCGACCTTGTTACCCAGACATCATATAAACCAACGCCATTATAATCCATAGCACATGAAACATCAATGTCAGAGTAATACAAGTCTAATAGAAGTGTCAACATATCCTCAGCGACAAATATAATATCGTTTAGAAAAATTGTGGTCACGTTTTTATTTATTATCTGATCGAATGCTACATTCCTCAACTCTGATAGTCTATCTATTCTTTGCATTTTATCTCTATCTGTTGTCGACTCCTTGTATCCTATCGTTACTTTACTACAAATACCCCTTGACTTCAAACTACTATTCCAATAGTGTAATATATCCTTAGTGCCATCAACGCTGTAATTCTCGACAATAGAAATACAAACTTTCGATGGCCCTAAAATATGAATTACTCTCTCTACTTCACGTATCCACGCCGGAAGTATATTTTCATTGTTATACAAATTAGCAATGATATTAACTTTAGGCATTTCTCTGGATAGCATACTTCCAACAGAATCGATATTTGTTATGTTATATGAAATTGTGTCGGTTATTACCAGACCCGAATAAAGTACCGCCATGAGTAAATAATACAATCTATTGGGTCTAAATATTAACGACGCTATTATTAACGGAAACAAAATAGTCGCGTATTTGGCAGCATTGAAAAATATTATTATAGATCGCGTAGAAGTTCTGTTGACGACAGAGAGAACTGTTAGACTCATAGTAATTGCGATCAACGCAACACTAGCGAAAAATATTGTTTTGATTCTCATCTTATAAAATTCATATGTTTTTTATTTGATCACTTCTTCATGAATAAAATTATGAAGGGAGTTGATATATTTACATTAACAATATGTTGTAGTAATATTTTCTTCAAGTAGTAAGATTTTGTAATGTGAATCCTATACTTTATATTTAGAGCATAAAGACAATGGTTCCATTGTAACTGCAAATGTCAAACTAAAGTAAATATGTATTAGTAAAACATTGTCAGTTGATAAAGTATCAATGTTATACAGCGTAATGTGTGAGTTTTACAAAGGAGTAAATGCACAACCACATTAAACAGAAAGAATATATTCAAGAAACTATGACACTGGAGCGTTTACTTTACCAAGTTGTATATAATAAATAGATAAGATAAACATCAACAGTCTTAAATATAATAATGTAGGGCTCACACACATATAATAACAAGAACTTAAGTTTTATCATAGGAATTAGTGTATATTATTAGATAAAAACATCTAATTTATGGTTGATATCTTAAGCTAATTTATTTGTTCATGAGAATACGAAATGAAAAATATGAAATGATATAAATTATAATATATAATATACAAAATAAAATGGACGTTAAATACAGTATAGATTCAGACAACGTGTTTATCAGATCCGACGCCATTCTCCAATTTTCGAGGGCACACGACCTCTACAAGAAATACTTCAAGAAAGAACCGAATCATATAAGACTGATACACTGCGACGGACCTATAAATATATATGAAGTGGACGATAAGATTCTAAAGATTCACCCCAAATCTGGATATGAAGCTTCTGTGATTAGATATCTAAACAAAGAAGGTTTTTCCCTAGCTCCAAAACTCTACTTCTACGGGGATGATCATATGTTCATACAAAAAATAGAGGGAGAGACAATGTTTGAAGCATATGATAAGATGAGTCCTGAGCAAATAAACATGATATTTAGCCAATTAAACTCGGCTATTGGTATTCTTAAACAAAAAAACGTCACTCACGGAGATCTTATGCCTACTAATATAATGGTATGTGGAGATAAACTGGTTGGTATTATCGATTGGGAGAGGTCTATAGTAGGTTCTCTTGATGACGTTGAAAGAAGAGGTTTTATGAAAGCAGAACATATGGGGTTTGCTTGGTGGTCTGAAAAAATGAGCCAGCTGGATAACTTAAATAAATAATATAGTTAACATGAAGACTCATAAAGGATATGAATGCACATACTGTCAGACTTGGGTAAACACGGGTCATAACTGTCCGCATAGATAACTTTAAACATAACATGACAACCCCTATGCGATGAGGTAATCGTCTTTAATAATCAACGTTCAGGCTGGGATTTACTTGCTGCTTTCTTTGCTCAGCTTCTTTTCATGGTGAAGCAGACTCTTGGTGTTTCCAATCCGAGAGAAATAAACTCTTTTTTTAAAATAATAACATAATTAATGTTTGATCTGATAAGATTTTACAATCCTTTCGCAATGTTTGTAATATGTTCCATAATATTCATATATAAAATTACGAATTTCAACGTATTTATATCATTCACTCTAATATTTATTAAGATTATAGTTGTGAAGTGATATTTTATTCTGAGACTAATTAGTAATAAATTCTTTGTTTTCATCTGTTAAACTTTCTCTTATGATGTACCTCCATACAATTGTATGTTTATACATTTCAACTAACTTAATGTTATTATCTTCAATCTCATTATTGGCTTTTAATGTTAACAAATATAAATAATTCATAGGTCCTAAAGTTATATAATAGGGATAAATTTGACTTAAGTACGTGATTCTTATTAATCTCATAATCATCTTGAAACTATTCTATAATTAAAAATAACAATGATCATAAATTTATTAAGTATATCCGTGTTTATAAGATGTTGGCAGCAGTATTTCTTTTTCTGGTCCTTCAAGTGGTAAAACTTTGTAATGCAAAGTGTGAATCTTATAGCTTGTATTTGGAGCACATCAACGATAGTTACATTGCAAGTACAAAGGTCAAACTGGAAAATAATTTTGGCCAACAATGGAACATTCTAGTGTTCATGTAGCGAGATCAATGCAAGAACATTGTAGCGATGCGATCGGAGAACAAGTTGTTTAGGGTGTTTGGTTATCCGTGCAATCCAGGAACCATTACAGTGGATTTAGATGATAAGAATAGGACAGGACTAAGATTGGAGAAACCGAACAAAGTTTATCAGAATCATAATAAATTGAGATGGACTAATGAATATTGGTTTGCATGGGATAATGTCTCCTACATTAACAAAACAACAAATTTTTAAAACGCTGCTACTAATATTTATAAATTAAAGTCAATACATATATAATACCAAAATAACATAATATTTTCACGTCATCGAAGAATCTAGTGTGCTTAGAAAGTATAAACAAAAATATTATCACCACAAGCGAAATCTGTATTTGTTATAAAACATGATAAGAAAAGCGATATAGACCTAAGACACGAATATATGATAATCAAAGCTGTTGTGATTCATAACAAATGGTATCCTTATACTAGGCACTCATAATACTCAATTGGAGCAAATGTAATGTGTTCATCCATATTCGAATCACTGTTAATAAACTATCTATTATGCATAGTTTCGTTTTGGAATATATAATGTGTTATTATGATCAGAAATATAAATGTAATTTCTAAGATTTGTAAAGTCTTCATATATTATTAAAACCTGAGACACACTCCTTGATACTCTCTATCGCTATCACCAATGTTTATGAGAATACAATCCATGTATATCAAATAATACGAAGATAGGTATATTATCATAATGATGTGCAAAGAACAATCCTATCTTAAATACATTATATTATCGAATTTCTAATTATTAACTAATTTACAGATACTGCTACTGTTAGTTGTTATCATATTAGAAGCTACATAGCATTTCAAAGTAAAACAATATATATATAGACATTCCTTTTAAATAAAGCTAAAGAAATAAAATATGTAATGGATACTATGCAATAACTAAATCGCATTTATATTCCAAAAAATTATAGTCTGTAATAAAAATATTATTCAAATTGAGTTTATAAAATTTAGTATTTGTTCCTGTTATCTTAATTATAGTTGACTCAAGTTTATCACTATCATCTTATACAAAATCTCAGTCAACTAACCAATAATATCATTGACAATAAAAGTATACTACAAGATAATAGACTAAGATTCGTAAACATTAAGTCTCTCTTTTATTTAGTTATATTGTTATCTGCTACAAGCGTTTAATTTTTAACATAACTTTAGATATTCAATAACACTCTTCTAGACTTTCTAATAATCTATAATAATTAATCCCTTCAATGTCTAAAAATATTTTTTGTAATTTTAGAAAATTTATATTATTAGTTTTTTCGAATAGAAGACCATTATCATATAAGTTAATAATAGTAACAAGATTTATTCTACTTGACATGTATTAAATAGCAGGTATAACTATTAGCTTGTCTTCAATTTATTGAGTAATGTCTAAGTTTTATAAGTTATTTTAAAGGACTAATTATAACTCTGACAGATACTATCACACTATAGACAATATTGATATTAATTAATAATATTACCTCCTATATTTTAAATAACTTTTTACAATGTCCAGTTAATCTTTTCTATTTGTCTTTTTTCGAAATATGTTATGAGATTGATAAGTTACGCAAAGTAATATTATCTAGTAATAGTAGCTATTCGGTGACTTGAATATTGTTAACTGGATACTATTGTATTATTATATCATCTAATTCTATAAAACTTAAGACATAATCTAAATAATATAAATTGTGAAATGTACAATCAAACATAATATAAATAGAAACATGTTGTATAAATTTTTAAAATATTGCTCTAATTGTATTATTCAAAAGTTACAAGTTATTATTCAAAGATTTTTGTGTGTATGTTTAGAACTTTATGAACACAACATTATAGTTTACATATTATACATTAATTATTTTAACTTTGTACATAACTGATATAATATAGTTGGTTGTCATAGTGATTTAACAAGTGTCATGAACAAGCTTTGTAAAACAATCATCGGACTGACAAAGACGCATTTTGTTCAAAGACATATTTTGTTCAAAGACACATTTCGTTCAAAAACAAACTACTTTCAAAAGTTACAAAAGTTTAATAATATTTTTATGAAGAGATACATGTTTCAAGACAGACAATGACAAATACTTAAAATATAAATAACTAACTCAACATCTTTATAAGATATATACGAACAAGAATCACCGTTGATATTTATGTCTGTTAGGTATATATTAAAGTAACAAAAACATGTCAACATACATTTCTCTATCTTGAAAAGGCATCTAATTGACTTATGACGTTGTGTGTGATATTTTGGAGAAAGCTAACAATATGTGTAGTTGTAAAGATACCAGCATGACATGTAAGACAGATATTGATAACAGATATTTGTACAAACCACAATCTATAAGCTTGATATTATTATGTTATAATTTTGTAACACAGATTTTATTAAACCACTAATGTTCGTTGTCAAAGTTATATCGCAAACATAGACTAACTGTTCCTTACAACAAATATAGAAAATAAAATATCAATGCGGTGTCAATCTAGGTGAAATAGTAGTTTGTTTAAGTTCCAACCAATAATATAGTATAATGTAACAAATATGTATCTAGGATATACAATACTCACAACAATGATAACTATTTTATTAATATATATTTTAAGTAAAAGAAGCTTATTGCTCTATGTGTTATGTAAATTAATTTTTGATAATTCATATAAATATCACAAAAATAACATGTTTTAGATAAGATAATAATTTCACAAGTTTGGACAAAATAGATATTAAGTTAAAAGTCAAATTATATTAATATGTATGCAAATATCAATATTTATATTTATTTCGATGTTAATATATTCAATAGGGTGTTGTAAGATAAACTTATTAATCAGCATCAATATATTAATAAAATATACTTCATATATGGAACTTATATATTCATAAAACATTATTGATATCGAAAAATAAGCTGTTGATACATTTTAGAATTTTTAATCTGTATGTTGTTTTATTTTTCTATTTATGAGGATCTTTAGATTTTCTGAAGTTGAGTCGCAAATGGATATTGTCGTGATCATGATCTTCATTCTACACATTAAATATATTTGATGAGACTATGATTCATATCACTGAATTTATCGATATTCGTATAAATATTATTTTCTTTAATTAGTATTTGATCTATAAATATAGTTACCGTTAATTACAACATATTGATAGTTATGACATATAGATACATTTCGTAGACAACAATGATTTCAATTCAACAATTGGTAAATATTTAATAAGATTAAAGAACTAAGACTAATATGAAATAAACACACAAAATAATAAAGTTAAAATATTATTCCAAATTAAGTTAGAGGTTAGTTAATATTTTATTAAACAGTATTTCTTGGATTTATGTAATATTAAACGTATTCGTGTAGAATAAAGATTAATGTTAGTATTAAAAAATATTATTGTGATTATTGGTGACAGAATTATACAGCTCATTTTAGTGATAATAGACCCTCTGCAATTGGAACTTGATGATAATTTTATTATTACCGTTCATATATGCTATTGGACAAAAACTAATGATGATTCTCCTAACCAATAACCCTCAACTTAGTCAAATATTGGTTTAAGTAATAGTTAAATATTTAGTAAAATAGGTAAAGATTACAGAGATTTTTTACATAACGCGACGAGTATCAAGTTAGTTGTCTAGAAATTGGCACACAGAACATGATATATTTATATCCTAAATACAAATGTGTTGTAAAGATACTTTTCGTTTCATATTTCATGAACTACATATTATCGATTTGATTGGTATTTTAACGGAAAGACAAGACAATTATTTCCTGTTAGAAGTATCCGATAATGGAAACCTTGAAGCATGAACTATCAAAGATGTTTTATTCATTACTCCAGTGATATACTTTCGTTATGTGGTCATGCAATCTTTAAGTTTCTTCAGTCCTTGTCTGCTCATATCAAATATATTCATTCCATAATTAACACTATCTTTCTATACTAATCGTTCATAATACTCAATCGGATCAATATATCATATTTGCATCTTTGTTGGTAAAATATGTATTTCTGGAATATATAATGTGTCATCATCTTTTAATGATTGGAATTGCTAATATTTGTAAAGTCTTAATATAACAATATTTGGACTGAAACAGAACTTTGCTTTGGTACATCTCCTTCAGCAGAAATGTTTCTTTATCTATTAAGCCAAAGATACTACTATCGCTAGTTATTCTCATACTAAACTTAAAACTATATGGTGCCTGAAATAAATATCAAATAGACATTCTTTTACAATATAAATAACACTCTTTCTGTTACATGTTTTATACTAATAACAACAATGTAAAAAATTAAGTCTGTAATGTATATCCGACAAAACTGTATTTTATCTTAAAAATATATGAGTCATAAAAAGTTATATTTTGTGATAAAGAATATTTTTCAGATTGTGTTTTATTTGTTCTTGTTATTTTCAATAATATTACCATGATATTCTATGTTTATTTAAAATATATATTTTGAATTTATATGATAAGACACTATAACTATTAATAGCAAGAATATACCAGTTTATCTTAAAAATCATCAACTATAAATATTATTAATCACAAATCCAAGTTATTATCATCGTTTAAATTATTTTATGTTATTAGTATATCGTTTGCTTTACTGAGCTAACCTTCCATATCGATAAATCTATTGACATGGAATAACACATCTATTAACACATCTATAACAATATTTAATAACTCACTGATTTGATTTATTTCGTTTAATGATTTTAAAAGAATAGAAAATTATCATCTAGTACTAAATTAATATATACTCGATGACTATTAAGAGACAAATTTATCCTTTTGTCTAAGTTTTAATATAGTATTAGATATTTTTATAACTATATATTAGTCGATCATCATATTCGACTTGATTGAATGAATTTAATTCGCGATATTTGTAAAGTATTTATACGGTTATAAATTTGTGACGTATTGTTGATACTCTCTGTTGCCACTATTAATACTTATACAATAATATAAACCACATACATTATATTTTTAAATACCACCATGATTGATGTAACGATAAATAACATCATCAAACTCCACCGAATAATATCCAGCGTATTTCCAGTTTGTTACTCCTATGAGTTTGTTTCCATTGACTATCAAACTGTGGTATGTTAAGAAAGTATGACAAAAAACTAATTTACTGTGTGATTTGATTGAAAGAAAATCATTAGCAAGAGAGCGGCCTAGATCAGTGCAGATGATACTTTGTGGCATATGAAGATTAATCTTGGAACCACGGATACCTTCACAAATATATTCTATCAAGATTCTTATGTCCATAGAACAACAGGTAATAATCGGTGTAACAATGTTTCCTGGAGACATACCGGCTTCGGATCTAGTTCCATACCACCATCTGCTAGACTTTGTTCTAAGGAATAATCTAAGTTCATCGATCTGTTTCAATATAGCCTCTTTGTACGGATAAGCATTCCACTCTTCAAGGGATCTAAATAGAATGCCATTACCATCATAACAGGTTTTTAATTTACCACCGAAATCACGATACAAATCTTCAGGAGGAGTTTTGTATAAACTTACCTTATCACCTAGCGACATTGACTCTACTTAATTATTTTTTATATCAAGTTGCTCAATTGTTATATTTAATATTTGTATTAGATTCATTAAATACTTGAATTTATATGATAATTGTGCAATGAGTGCAATTCTTCCTTTGATGACCAACATCGAACAAAGAATCTAAATAATTTGAAACATGTTATCCAAATACCTTTACTTTTTTACGTCACTTCGATAGCCTCATTTTATTTTTATCGATAATAAGATAAAGGGTTGAGATAATAGATTCGTCCTAAATAAGAAATAGTTAGGATACATTTTGTGAACATTTGGATCTTGATAACATCAACACCATGTGAGTTTAAAATAATCATAATTATTCAAACATTTCGTACCTCACCAAGAACGATTATTTTAAAATAAAGCAGCAAGGTGTGTTCACATATATAAATAAATAATATTGTTGAAATACCATTATTGAAATTTGTGCAATTAGACCAATTGTCAGTTTCTACTCGATTGGTAACTTCATGTTTATAACCGTATATAGTCCTTTCCATTATTGTATATGATCTTTTTGTACATTGTTGTATATGTTGTTGAACTAGTTATTATCAATAAATTAAATAATATTATTGTCATCCTCTTGACAAATATATTAACTTAAATTCACCTCTCAAGTCTTTCATGTGTTCCAATTTAATATTTATCTTGTCATATACTACATTTAAATTCCTGAGTCTATCTTTATATACTTATCTACATTATAGGTCATTACTAATTAATATTTTGCATTGACAATACTCTTCGCGCTTATAAATACTATTTGTTGTTTCAGTTACTACTATTATGTAAGTTTTTATATCATATCTTAATCAAAATTATATAATACTCAATGTTAACTATTATAATAGTTAATTCAGTCCAAGTTTACTACCACATCTTTTGACAATAAATAATCCTTTCTAGAATATTAAGTACTTCTTGTTATAAACTAAATCTTCAAGTTGTATTTGTCAAAAGGTATATATTCATTGCCATTACTTATTTTAATTTATCTTTTGTCGTAATTTTAGATAGTTTAAATCATCATCCAGTAGTAAGTTATTAAGTACATATATTAAAGGATAGATAGTATCATTAGCTTATATAAAACATATCCATTTGTAATATATTTTAAAGGACTAATTATAAGTTCTTATATTTATTAAAATTTTCAGTGATGGAAATATAATCGATCATAACACTAATTGGACTGATTCATTATTCACTATCGAAATATTGTTTAGTAATGTTAGATATTCAGATATATTGTTATATACTGTTGTGTTTCCTATAAAAACTAAGATATGGTCTAAACAAATACAAGATATGAAATGTATAGAACTTTAGGAACATAACATTATAGTTCACAGATTGTAAATTAAATATTTTTAAATTTGTAAATAACGGATATGATATAGTTGTAATGATATCAATAATCCAATAGTGTGTCAAGTCTCGGTTATGCAATACAATCATCAGACTGACAAAGACATCTTTTGTTTAAAAAGACATATTTTGTTCAAATGTACATTTTGTTCGAAAACAAACTAACTGCGAAAAGTTATAAAACTTTAATATAAATTATTAAAGATGACAAATCATGATGGCAACAATATGATTACGATATAATTACAATACTTCTGAGTATGATTGTATATTTCTTTTAAAACACTGATATATTGTAATTAACTTATGAATTTTATGGGTGATATTTGCATAAAGCTAACAATGTGTGTAATTGTAAAATTATTAGCATAACTTATATGATTATTATAATATATTTTCGTAACACATAATTTATTTAACCACCAATGTTCGTTATTAAAGTTATATCACAGTCATGAACTAACAGCATCATTGTAATAAATAGAGAAAGAGAAGATATCAATGTGTATATTAATCTAGATAGAATATTGAAATGTTTAAGTCACAAGCAATGGCATTATATTATCATATGTTATAACAAATATGTATCTAGGATATACAACAATGACAATTATTTCAAAAAGAAGCTCATTGTTCTATGTGTTATGTAAGTTAAGAATTAATAGTTTATATAAACCATTGTAACATGTGAAAATAATAAACCTTTATAATAATTAATTTTTAAGTTCACCTAAACATCATTGAAACTATCAAACATATTATAATATGACAAATAACAAGAAATTTATAACTTTAGACAAATATAGATATCATGCTAAAACTCAAATTATATTAATATTTATTTCTGATGTTAACATAACCAATGGTATGTTGTAATATAAACTTATTAAGTTCTAACTTAGTAGAATATATCATAAAGATATGTTTTTATTTTTTGAATATATTTTATCTTTCTTTTATTTCTGTTCGAATGTAACTATTATCACTCAAATCTTTAACTACTATATAATATCATGTATAGATTCTATTTCTGAAGTTGATCGCTAAATAGATATTGACATGTTCATGATTTTCATCCATGCATCAAATATAATGAGGCTATGATTTTTATTAATAGTTGTAAAATTATATAAAAATATTAGTATTTAATTTGTAAAATATTGTTAGTTCTGACATACAGATATCGTTATTTGCGACATATAGATGTTGTTTGTCATGTCATAAGATAGATTTTATAAACAACAATGATTTTAATTCGACAGTTGCCAAATATTTGATAAAAATATATAAAAGATTCTTGATTCCAAATTGAGTCAGAGATTAGATAATATCTTATTGAAATAGCATTTCTTAGATTTATATGATATTATTGTTTGTTTTAAAATATTGTTGTGATTATTGGTGACAGAATTACACAACTCAATTTAGTAATAATAGATCTTCCTGCAATCTTGATGATAATATTTAATATTACTGTTCATATCTATCTTATTAGACAAACTAATAATGGTTCTCACAACTAACAAGTTTTATCTATAATTAAATATTTATATAATACCTGATTTTCATTATTATAATAGTTGAGGACTACAAAGACTTTTTACATAACGCGACAAGTAATCAAATTAGTCGTCTAGTAATTGGCTCACTGAGTATGATATATTTATATCGTAAATACAAATGTGCTGTGAAATGCTTTTTTGTTCCAGATTCCCATGAGTAGATATTCTTAAGAAATTAAATCACATAAATATTATCAAGTTGATTGGTATCTTAACCGAGGACAATGACCTCCTGTTAGAACTGTCCAATAATAGAGATCTTATCTGAGCAATCATAGGACTACGGAGGACAATAGATGTATGTGGACGAAAGGAGTATTTGAAGGATTGCGGTACATGCATAACATGGGTGTGTTACATAATAATATCAAATGTTCTAACATTATACTAACAATCTTCAACTTAAGATATTAGACTTTGGATGGGTGAATAAGGTTGAATTTGAAGGAAGTATAAGATGGTGTTCTCTATCTCTACTTCGAGGAAAAGTAATCGTTCAACAGACTGGTACTCTTTCGGTGTGATAGATATATAACGATGGGGAGATACCATATGAATCTATTGAAGATGATGAAGATGTGGAAACAAAAATCAAAACATAAGAATAAAAATAATTTCATATCATTGTATACAAATATAATCGAAATAAATATATTTTTGGATAGTTATTACAAATTAAAGAATGTGTGTCAGATATACGAATAAATTTATAAAATGCATCAACACCTTTATATGGCGATGACCACAAGTGATAGAAGCAGCTTCTAGAAGAACACACACTAGTGCTAAGGTCAACTATTGTATATACAAATCCGATGAACTTATGAAATATTAGTATTTGACGTTGTTATAAAACATTATTGAATGATATTTATCAGATAATAAACTACCTTTCATATAAATTAATTTTATATATTCATTATTGAAATAATATATCTCCTTTGTTGTAATTTTATATATTTTAAATTTTTAGTTATTTTTCGAATGGAAGACTATTATCATCTAGTAAAATAAATAAATTTGACAAATGTTAAAGAAAAATATTATTGAACAAATGTACCTATTCGTTGAGTATTATCTAGATTTGTAACATATTTTTAAAAATAATAGAAAGTATGATTAATGGACATCAATAACATAGTTTAGATAATTTCTTATATTTATTACAATGTTCAGCGAATATTTTATTTTTATACTTTTGAAATATATCATGAGCGTTGATAGGTTACGTAAAAATAAATATCGTCTAGTAAGATGATTTGGATATTGTTGTATACTGCTGTGTTAGAACTATGAAATCCAAAATATAAACAATATGAAATGTACAATCGAACATAAGATAAATAGAAACATGTTGTATAAAATATTTTTCCAATTTAAACAAGATGTGTGCACAAGTTATTATTCAAAGGTTTTTGTGTGTATGTTTAGAACATAATATTATAGCTTACATATTATATAATAACTAGTTTATATATAATTGGAATGTTACTAATAATTTGTCAAATATCGGTTATGTAAAGCAATCATCAAGCTGACAATGACACATTGGTATTTTATCTAAAGATACATTTTGTTTTAAAGATACATTTTGTTCGAAATCAAACTAGCCGTAAAAGTTACAAAAGTTCAATAATATTTTTATGTATAGCAGCAACGTTAAATATTATAAATAACTAATATAAACAAAGAAGAATCACTATTGATATTTACATTCAACATTAAAGATGACAAAATATGATAGTGATATAATTATAATACTGTTACATATAAATTAGAGTTCCTTTTAAAAGACTAATGTCAACATACGTTTCTCTCTCTAATTAACTTATGAATTTTGTATGAAGAGAAAGACAACAATGTGTGTAATTGTAAAGAATACCAGCATAACTTGTAAGACAGCTACTGACAATAAATATTTGTATATACAAATGAGCTTGATATCGTTATTATGTTATACTTTTAGACACATAGCTTATTAAATTACCAATATTCGTTATTAAAGTCATATCGTAATTATGGACTAACAGTTAATTACAATAAATAGAGACAATAAGATACCAATGTGTATATTAATCTAGTTAGAATATTTGTTACAACCAATAATTTAGTATAATATAACAAATATGTATCTAGAATATATATACATACAACAACGATAAATATATAGAGTACAAAATAATTATACTATTAACATATATTTTAAATAACAATAAGAGAAGTTTATTGTATAAGCTAACTTTTAATAATTTATGTAAATATATTTCAAGATATGAAAAATAATAAATCTTATACAATGAATTTTATATTTAAATACCGAATGACAAATAACATATTTTTAGATAACACAATAATTTCACAACTTTAGACAGAATATAGATATTAAGATAAGTTATATAAAGAAATAAATATCTATGCAAACATTATCTTAGTTTCGTTGTTAATATAATCAATAGTGTGTTATAAGATAAACTTATTAAGTACCATCAACACATTAGTAAAACATACTTTATTTATCCTTTGATTATGTTTGATTGTAAGTATTTTCAACTACTAAATAAAATTATATATAATTATAAAATATTATCGATATCAATAAATAATTTGTATGTTATTTTATTTTTTCTATTCATGAGTATCTTCACATTTTTATTATACACATTAAATATATTTGATAAGACTACGATCCATATCTGTTATTGATAGTTGTATAAATATTACTTCTTTGCAGAAATATTGGCATTTGATCTATAAATTCAAATATCGTTAATTACAACATACAGTTATCGTTAGTTAAGACATACAGATAGATTTTGTAGACAAATAATTTTAATTCAACAATTGGCGAATATTCGATAATATTAAGGAAATAAGACTAATATTTAACAACCACAAAAAGTATATTACAATAGATACATAAATAAGAAACTAACAGTTGATTGAGATATACCCGTTTTAAAAATAAATATTATTCCAAACTTGGCTAGAGGTTAATTAATATCTTATTAAACTATTGAATTTATATAATATTAAACTAGAACTGTAATTGTGTGTAAGTACAGAATAAAGATTAATGTTGATGTTATCGATGAATATATCTTTGTGATTATTGGTGATAGGACCACACAGCTCATTTTAGTGACAATAAACACACCTGCAATTAAATAGAGAAATCAACTTGAAAATAATTTTTAATATTACTCTTCATATATCAAGACTTCTATTGGATAAAAACTAATAATGGTTCTTCTAACTAATAACATTCAATTGGTTGATTAGTCAAATGTTGATACGTTTTAAATAATAGTTAAAATTCATTATTACAATATTTAGTAAAATAGTTAAAGACTATAAAGACTTTTTACATAACGAGGAGAGTAATCAAGTTAGTTATCTAGAAATTGGCATATAGAGTATGATATATCTTAAATACAAATGTGTTATAAAATTACTTTTTGTTTCGGATATTCTTAATAGGTTAAATTATAGAGATATTATTAACTTGATTGGTATTTTAACGGAAAGACAATTAATATAATAAAGACATTTAAGCTTATCTGAGCAAACACACGAACACCGAGAACAATAGATGTGTGTAAACGAAATGAATATTTGAACGATTTGTGTATATGGATGTGTTACATAATATCAAATATTCTAACATTATACTAACAAGTTTCAATCTAAGATATTACACTTTAGATCTAAAGAAGTATAAGATAAGAAGATATCATATGTTGAAAGAAGATGATGAATTACAAACCAAGATCAAACATGAGAATGAAAGTAATTGTATACAATGATATATAATCGAAATAAATAGAACTTAAGATAGTTGTTACTAATTTAAGAATGGATACACAAAGAAATTTATGAACTACATGAAACAACCAGAGATAATTTCTGAAATATTTTAAAATAATATGAGATATACATAGTTGTGATATAACATTCTTGGAGACTATCTATTTGACTATATATTTACATTCACTACAAGTATATTAATAAATATTACTTTCAAGATTTAATATTACTTTGAAGAGCGTTAGTTCGTTCACAACATTGTATCTCTGGATATGTTTAGGAAGATAATTGAATATAAACACGATTGAATAATAGTTTCATCTGTAACTACTAAATAGTATTGTACAGTTATAATCAGAGAGTCACTCATTGTTCCGTTCTAGAATAAGGTTAATGATTATGTATACCTGATAAGTGATTGTACGTTATTATAAAATAATCATTGCAATGGATAAAGAGGAGATAAACTCGAAGCCTCTGGTCAACAGGGTCAGACCAGCATGCAATAAAGAGAAGTTGAATGGTACAGGACCTTGTACAAATAAGAAACTTGATAACTATTCATGGTGTTGGGTTCATCTAGATAAGGAGGAAAGAGCGAGATATCGTCTAGAGAAAGGATCCAAAGTCGGGCGCAAGAAGGTTGACACTAAGAAAGAAGTGGTTGAGCGTAACAAAGCACTAGTTGCCCAGGTTGAGAAGCAGAAGGTGCAGATTGAGATGTTGATGGATGTGATTAAGTCCATGAAAATACAGGCATGAAAATACAAACATGAAAATAAAGGCATGATTTCATTATTAAATGCATCTATAAATTTTAAAACTGAAGTTTTCAGGTGCTAGTAAATATTAATCTGATATTAGATATAGTAATTACCAAGTATTATCGATTAAAAATGTGCAATCATATCAAAGTAGATGGTAGCCAGTGTAAATATAAGCCAAATCAAGAATGGTGCGGTTATCATGATCCGGCAAAGCGTAAGGTAAGGGCTGAACGAGGTAAGACGTCTCGGAGAGCATCTGTGTCCTCTACGTGTTCTTGTTCAACTACGAGTCAGACTAATCAACAAACAGCAAATATCCAAGAGGATTTTACTAATAGAGGTGAAAGAGACTTGAAAGCAGATTTAATATTAGAGCAGGTGCGTAAGGAAATGCGTGACGGCTTTGAGAAAATTCGTAAGATGCTTTTTGATAAGGATGGTGTTTTCTGTTTGAAAAATATATTCGTTCCACCTATTGACGAAAAAACGACTTCAAATGGCGGTGTGTATAAACGCGTAACAGATCATGACTTCGATATCTTCTTTTTCGAGGATATGTCTGAGCAAATTCTGGGTGCTGTAGAGGATGGTGTTTCTATGTTTAATAACCACATACGCGAAACGAACACTACTATAAAGGACTTGATTAAGGAACGTTTCAATGATGTTATGGTAACTATTGTAAAGCAAATCACCCACATGCACGACGAAGTGATAAAAGCTATCAATGTGTTATCGTCCAATTTAAATGAAATGAATAGACAAACTAATAATGTAGGAAATACAAGAAGACGTCGATCTAGTTTATGGACGTTCTAATGATTTTAAAATAAATACTAAAGTAGATACTTCCATGATAACCATGAATACTCGTACTTAGGGTAAAATAAGTAAACTTTAATGATAAAGACGATATGTATAACTTAATATTTGTAACAATATTTAGTGGGTTGATTTATAAATAAACATTGATATATAAGATAATAATACATCATGAGGGATAATTTATATAGTTTAGCTCACAATGATGTTCAATATAGATATATTT